ATTATATATGTGTTGCCCTTTAACTCTCCGTTACTAAGCCAGCTAATACAAAACTTCTTTACATACTGAAATGAGCCAGGTTGTCATAGTTCAACGGTTTATAATCAGGCACCATTTTAAGATATTTCAAAAACTATTTTTTTTTGTTCAACTTCATACCTGTGTTTGTATACTACGTGCCAATCAATTTGTTTATTCGTTTCAATTATTTTGTGCACAACAACCTACCGCAACGATTTTTTATCGTTAAGTTGATCATGCTGACTAGGAAAACATGATTATAAATTTACCAAATAACAAATGTCTGCACTAGTGAACAATATATGTGATATTTAATTCTGTTTCAGGATTTAAATTCAATTCACCAGACTATTGTTAACTTCAGGTTTCAATAATAACATCCACAGAAATACAGAGCAAGTAATTTAGTGTGAATGGCATGAGGGCGACCTTATGGTAAAAATCGGACTGACAGTTATTGGTATGGAAATTAAATTGTACAATTAAATCAAATATGTCGAAGGAAAGAGATAAAAATCTTAACTACAATTCGAGTCCCTGTTTGCTCTATTTTAATCTGTGAATACATGTGATTTCAAACTATTACGTTGATTCCATAGGTGAGCTGGTGAATATGTTTTGTTAAGAATTCACCTTAATTATACCAAAATGTAAGTGTGTTCCTGTTATAGCCTTTCCGCTTGGTAGGTACGAATTGATGGACTGTTCAACGTATATGTAGTTTATCTTTTCATTACACACCTTATACAAAATTCTAAATATAGCATACATCCGTATTACAAATCAATGTGGTATTTGTATTTGTGTCACCATAACAAACGTGATATATTTGAATTAGTATTTCTCTGATATCTATCATTTACCTGTTTGGTCAAATACGTTTCTACGCAAAAGACAACCTGTCCATGTGATATAAACAGTGATTTCACGTTACGATCAAACAAACCCTTCTCTAAGTGTGGTTATTGTAGTTTATATAACAATGGTCAGATCAAACTATTTGTTTGTTGGGTTTACTGTCCCGTTAAAAGCCAAGGTCATTTTCATGGTCTCGTTGTTATAGCTCGTGGCTATCTTACTGGACAACATACACGGGACCAGATGAATAACACCCAAAGTAAAAAGGGTAAAGTGGCTTGGGGAAAGACGAAACCACACTGAAATTATTCATCAAAAGTATTCATGGTTCACTGATAATTATTCATCAAAAGTGTTCATGGTACACTGAAATCATAAATCAAAACATATATAAAACATGCCAGTATGATTAAATTCATTCCATTGCTCAAAAGAATATATCTAACATTAGAAAATTATAGTAAATATTTGAGTGTATGCAAGTATGATTGTGTAGTTATTGACAAGTTAGTGTTTACTTTCCGCTACAGGAGTGTACATGTACATTGTACTTAGCAATACGTCATCTGTGTGTATGTTGTAACCGATACGTCAAAAAGACTAGGAACTGGAAACTTGACACTTGGGTTTTCCCTTGAGGTTATGTAGTCCAACGTGTTGTGACAAGGACATGTTTAAATGTTCTTACCACCAACACAAATTCCATTTCAAATCAGAATATAATGATTTTTATTTATCTGGATCTGTATAAACAGAATTGATGATGTCTATCTATACAGACATGGAAAATCTGTGACAGGGAAAGAATATAACTCACTGCATGACGTAAGAGAGGAAACATTATGGAAAATCCCTTGCAGATCTGGGTTGTTTACCAGGTGCCGTCTGTTTATGGGACATTGAAGAGACCAAGAGTTTGGCCATTGCAATGCAAGGTCGTTGGCAATGACTTAGATTGAACAGATACAGAATTAGAGGTTTTCCTCCAAGTCCTCTTATAAACAGTCATCGATTGAGACATCAAAATAAATCTTCTAAACCTGCTGCAACACTAAAAGATCTTGACATTTTTTCGTTCGAATTTTACCCTTTCACTCGTTGTGTCCCTATTGACAACCGTCTTCGTAAATGTGTCTCTGACTATTGAAAAGACTGTACACATCGTCAAATTTGGATATACATTTTTTATGTGATTTTCGAACGGGCTAGACAATGCAATGTTCCTTGATAAACACACCATCTTGTTTTGACGTAGCACGTATACCACGAAACTGTTTAAAGTGTTTAACATTCAAGTGTCTACAAACAGAAAATCACTTTACATTCAAACACACTTATGTACCCGTGGTATTGACAAATAACTCCATATCAATTCGATTACCACTCCACCATCTGCATGTTGAAATAGACAACAAGACATGTAATAAGTCACATGAACTGCTAAATTAGACGTATAATGATTAATGAAAGTGTGGATATATCTATATATATTTAAATAGGCATTATACATTTCTATGAGGAAATTGATTTTTTTTTCGAATTGATAGCGTAATAATATACATCTATGTCCAAAGCTAACAATTCTTTACAGATCAGGATTTGAACCCCAAAATTGGTGTGTGAAAAAGGAGAACTGCAAGTCTTTTATGGTACTTAATTCTCCTTCAGTAGGTGGTTGATTTTAAATCCAATGATTAGGCAGTAAAATATTGTCTTTGAAGGAAATACAAAATCTGCACTTGTGAACTCATTCGCACAGACTTTGATCATTTAAGTATATTAGCTGCAATGCTTTATGTAATTCTTTTGTTGACAATGTGATGCATGTATGGTATGTAATGGAGTTAATACAAGACGTTTATTTGTTTACACGTAACAAACCTTTAAAGTACACATGTTTTATGTATTGCTGATTATACGATCGATTGGTCTGTCGGTCATGTCATTTCAGCTTCGGATTGAACTTAAGATTATAAACGTTGTGTCATTTAGTTATCATTTACAAGTTTACTCGTGATACGTCTAATAATAATGTGAACAAAATCACGAGCCACCTAGTAACGTAAATTCCAAAGAAATACCAGAAAATTCAAAATATTAATACATAAGGAACAATTGTCATTATTTAGAATGTATTTATAAGGCATAGATTGAACACAAACTGCTATATCGGTTTCTCAATTTCAGTTTATGATTTTTGAAATCACTTTCATCCATATCACTTTTTCAGGAGCGATATTAATACCATATGAGACACGTTCTATCCGAGTTGCCTTTTTTCATATCACACACTCATGTTATCAATCCTGAGTTAGATTTCATGGGTTTGATTACCTATCAGTAAACATTCCCGAACAGTAATAAAGGACCAAAAACCGATTTAATGACCTACTTGTAAGGTTATTAAGCTTGTAAAGATATTAACTTGGAGTTATTGACACTTGATTAATTCTGTATGTATTTCAGGATTACCAGTGGTAGCGCTAAATCATCTGGCAAGCCTCGCATCGATTCCACACCTTCCCTTCCTCCCGCCAAACAAAATGGCGGACTGGTTACGTCACATGACGCCAGCCAGAGCAGTAAGCCACACAGTCCAGAAAAGTCAAAGAGGTCCACAGCAGACGTAAATACACAGTCTATACCGAACATATCACAGAAAAACACAGGTACGTTTCCATGGCAATAATAAATAAAGAATAAAGTAATAAATGTTTATTGATTCGTGGTGCTCAATTTTTAGGACAGAATATAATTTCACAATCTTCAGTTTTTGAATAAAGAATATACTTCATTTCAAGGAGTTTAACGATTTTAAACCCATAATGAACAAAAAGTCAATATCGAATAAGGGAAGATCATCTTTCAGAGTAATACTACATTGGTAGTGTTTTAAGCAAGTATGTTATCCTCTTCGGCCACTTGTAGAATTATAAACTGACTCAAACACTGCGGTGATAAAGAAACAGCATCTAACTATAATTGACATGACTTCAGGTTCAGGAAACCAATCCGCCACAATAGTGTATAGTAGGCAAAAATGTCTCAACAAAAGATGTTGTATAGGTCATAAATGTCATCTACAGTTAATGAAACTGTAGGCTGGAATACGAACAAACATTATTTTGTTCCAGATCTCACCAATTGTTCACTGTATTTCACATCAAACAGGTACTTGTCAAAGGTGATCATGACGCCATTTAATAACAAATTTATGTAATGGAAATGGAACTTGTATCATTTATAGTTTTTAAACGAGCATTATTCAAAATCCAACCTATACTTTTAATCTAGATAAATCATCTACATCATTGAGGCGGACGAACCGAAAAGGTTTGTATATGCACGAAAGAACATTTTCTTTTGCATCACAGCAATATTCGCCTGTATATTATACCAATATACAGCGTTTTCAAACCTTTGTCACGTGTGAGAAATGAAGACTAAATATATGTAAAACATTAAATAAATCATTTCTGTAAATTAGCCATCGGACTTACATAAGGATGGACACAAACATAGTTTGGTCGTTCATACAGTCTTAAAGACATCATTCATCAAAGATATGGAACACAAACGTAATCATACCTTAAACGAAGCTACGAAATATCTCGTTTTTACAGTGATTACAAGTGATCAGTTTCCAACGATTCGTGAACATGTTTGATAATATTTAAGTTAAAGTTACTGTTTTGATATTTACAATGGAAGCATATACTAGTGTATACATATCTTACGAAATGTTTATTCATCAGAGCATAAACAGACATATAGGATCAGTCACTGACTTGTTATTTTCACAAACCAGATATTAATAATGTGTTGCCCGATACATATTACGTTTGTTCCTGTGTGTTGTTTTGCTGTAGATGACACTCTAGCAACCCACCAGCCACCTACCTCACCCTCTAAAACAAAGAGACCAGATCACCTACCATCCTCGCCTTCTAAATCAAAACGTGATGATAAACTGCCTTCCTCACCTTCCAAAACTAAGAGAGAGGACAAACCTCCTTCATCCCCTCTCAAAGAAAATCTTTCCTCTATTGACCAAAACAAGTCGGGAAAATCCACTACTTCTAAAAGTGATGGTAAGTACAGTAACCATATTGTTAAAAAGAATGCCTCGCAGCACCATGCCAGTGTTTTCGTCCATTGAGTTAGGTTTGAGTATCTATTTTCAACAATCAAGCCCTTGTAGAGGAGGTATCTTTGTATGCATAGTATTTTACAACTATTTAATATTTCATAGAATGCTTTCAAGTTATTGTCACATATATACGTCAAGCACTTATATATGCATATATATATATATATATATATATTTGCTTAAATGGACATTCGTACATTCAATATATTTAACATATTATGTGACATTCTCAGTTTCATTTCCCTTTTAAATATTTTGCTTTAATGAAATGAACGAAACGGATTTCGCATATAATAGATCTAACATAATTACTCATGCGTTCTATTAAATCGGAGCCTTACTCTTTTCCTACTGTAGTTGTTAGAAATTAGTTCTCTATATATAGGTGTTTACTTGGCCAAACAATTAATTAATCTGAAAAGTCACATTATCAATTGCTCTCACTCAGTCCTCCAATCACAATTTACACTATGTATTACTAGTGATTGATTTGGACGATGACTGACTAAGCTTCGATTCAATAGGAAACCTTGTATTATCCAACAGCATTTCCCATCATCCATTCAGGCTAAGAATTTAATGTTGATGGAAGCAAACTACTGGCTGTTACAAAAAATACTCCTTTTCAATATGAACATCTCCACTATATATGAAAAATGGTCTAAACTATTATAACAAGCACAATAATCATGTTCTTCGATTACTGGAAATAGTGCCATAATCAAATTTAACATTTTTATTCTTGTAAAGGAAAGGTATCTTTTTATATAAACATGAAATAGATAGTCATGATTCTCATTTACTATTACCAATGGATATTATTTAATGTTTTCTTTGTAGCTGCTACAGTGAAATCCCAATCGAATAAAGAAAACACCAAACCAACACAGGAGCCAGCGCAACAAACGTTGGTTAAAGAAAACGTTCAAAAGTAACTTTACTTTTCCTAATCAAGTTCATAAATTAATTTCGTGATAACTCCTAGTTCGTCTACTTTGTATCTATGATAAGTAATTAACAGATAGAGGGTAAATGCGAGTCAACAGATTATAAAACAAACAATGTAGTACATGCTGTGGTGTATGCTATAAGAGTTCTGTTCGGTATTCCACGTGGTTTAGCATAACTATATATTACTGATTATAGTAGTAACATGTTACAGAACAATTACCATGCTTTCTATCTCGTGTAACCCAGTGTCCAACTAATAGGTACCATTAAGTTTAATACTGTACAGAGATGAAGTTATGTGAAATACTGTATAGAGATGAAGTTAAGTGGAATACTGTTTAGAGATGAAGTTAAGTTGAATACTGTATTGAGATGAAGTATAACTGTTACTTTATAGAGATGACGTTAAGTGTATCAATAACGACTAAGATAAAGTACTAACTCCATGGTTTGATTTTTCAGGAATAATGGAAAGTTCGTGGCAACCTATACTAGGACACGCCCAGAAAGAAAAAAAGAAAACAATAAAATCGACAATAACAAGTAAGTGTGTACAATATACAGGACGGACAGGTAGAATGCTTGTAAGTTACACCGTCAGTCCATTCTAAAACGTGTTCACTGGCGCATGTGCCTTAAACAAATAAAAATAAATTATCTTGTTTTCAAATTTAAATTACTGATCGGGCACAATTTCATTAAGAGAATTGCTTTCGATTATATAAGTGAGAACACTGATTATAGATTTGAGGAACGTACTTCCTAACGACATGGAATATTATTGGTCTATCATTTTATTTAAACTGAATGCAAAAAAGCCGTTCTAGATCATTTGAACATAAAATACAAGAATAGCCTAATCACCAATAGTGATGAAGTAGCAAATGTAGCCATATACTATTAGTGCAGTGCAATGTGATATCAAGTTGATTCTGAAAGAGAGAATTTCGAGAAGAGGTAGTTGGTCAGAAATTCCACTTTATTCTAATAATTCTTGCTTAGTATGCATAAAATAGTCGCAATACAGTAACTTTCAATAAATCATAAGATACCTCACCTATTTGTAATTTCATTCCAATTTATACGATACATTTTCTGAACCATCAACAAAATGTATTGCCAATTGCATGAATGAAATTACAACTTAGTTTAGAAAACATCATGTTCACATATTTGAAACAATCATGCAGCGTTTCGATATCTTAATTCCAAACGTTTATTGCTTCAAACTAGAGCTACATAGAGGTATGTTTCGTATTTCAGGGAACGAGTTGATGTTTCACCACAGTCTAGAACTACCGACGATACAATCACAGATAGTAATGTGTCGAAAGGGAGTCCGTACCGGTGGCATGCACCTGCACGAAAATACGAAACTACGCGTCAAAATCCACCGGTGAAACCAAAGGCAGTGACTATAAACTCAGACTCTGCGTCCTCACGGACAACCGGAAGTAGTAACAAGCCACCAGTGTTTAAACTTAAATTACATAAAAAACCAATGTATTCTAGAGACAAAAAGGCAAAGGAAAAGGAAGTAGTTATAACACCTAGAACCCATAAATCATCACAAGACTCTTCGAGGCCAAAATCGTATCATTTAGAGAGAGATAAATCTATTTATAGAACTAATACTTATCTATGGGAGGAAGAAAAGGCTGAACTAACATATCAGCCCTCGACAAATACACAGACTGATGTAATGATGGCTTATACTGGTGAACCAAACACAAGAGAGGCATTGAAAAGTGCTAGTGGTAAAAAAAGGCCGAAGGAATTCAAAAAAGCATTTACAGTGTTCGCTACGAGGTCAAAACAGCCGCCATGGCATGAAAATGAATACGTTCTCAACAGGCGGGAGGCGCAAATCTATCAAGGTATTAAACAGGTATACGATAAACCTACTGCGAAGAAAGCAAGACAACGAGAATTTATGAAGAAACTGGAACAGTTCCAAGTCGAAATGGCCAAACATCAGATGAATGAGTTACAACAAAAGGAAACAAAAAAATATATGGACAAGATGAGACAAGCGAATCAACTGAAGGAGTTGCGACAACGATTCGAAGACGAGGCTTGGCATCGTTTCCATACACAATATGTTACGTCACGAGTCCTTGAGCACGAAAAAATGAATAGATTCCAGTATGGTCTTCCAGAAGAACCTGACGGTGAACCAGAATATGCAGTGAAACTCAAGCGGAAGAAAAAGAACCCAAAGGTTATCATCGACGGGAAACAATTAAGCAAAATAAATAAAAAGAGATTTTCAGACATGTTTGATGTTAATACTGGACCACAGTGGAGCACAAACAGCAAAGATCCCAGGATGGAGGGGATCGACACAGTCGTTTTAGATGTTAAAGATGATGAAGGTAAGTTTTATGGTGTCGCCATCACCACTTCTTAGTAAATAGCTCAGGACTCTTAAAATCTAAATATAAATCAAACTCTCTACATTTGCAGTTATCAAATGCTCGTTGAAAACATCACAAGTTTGGAAACATTTTGTGTTGTTCGTATATAATCAAATGTTAATCAACCAGATACCCACTAGAAAGATTGAGAGGCAGCAACGTCTCTTCTTTTAACACACGTGTAAAGAATAAAAGGATGTTAGATATTATTCTATTACATTAGTTTTAGGTTGTGAAAGAAGAATCGGACGTCGGCTATGCATGTTTATTAATGAAACAATGTAATTTAATAACATTTTCAGAGGACAAAGAAAGGTAAATTTGTGCCGTGGTGAATTTTGTTGGGTTTGTCATTTGTATAGTACAGAACATCGTACAGATATATGTTTATTGATATCTGCCATTTATCATAAATCACATGTCGCCACTGTTTTATAATCTACACCTCAGTTAAATAGATGAACAGAAAACTAAATTTTTGATACTCTTATTTCGTAAGAATTTTTAATATACCCCCGTTAATTCGATGCTCAAAATATCAGATGTTTGGAATGATATAATATATATGTGGCCAATCTAAATATATCTACCTAAAAATTTTAATCTAGATCACTGAAAGACTGTTAAATGATCCAATTTTGAACCCCACATTTATCTTGTCAGCTTCAGTGTTCGTACTGCCTATACTGCCATAAAATCATCAATTATCCAAATTTACGAATGTTTTTCACTGTCTTGTCAATAACAAGACAGAGAATGAGATAATGTTCAACTTATATAAGGTTGTTGATTTCACATACACTATGTACATGTATCACCATGGTGTTCTTTCATGTACAAGTTCATGTTGAGATGCTGTTTCGATGTTGTAATTAACACAATGATTGTTAAATATGTTAACTATATATACGTATGGCCATGAAGAAACAGTGTTTATAGATATGTGTTGGTGAACTGGCTTTCATTCATGAATATAATAATTGCTTGTTGATTTTAAACGTAATAAGACTAATAATTGTATATAATAACATCAGATTGTATTGATTGTGGTCCTAATTGTAAGATAGAACACTACATATTTAATTTGTAATTACGAGTAAAAATCATATTGCTAATAGTCGTTTATGCATCTTAATCTCTATGGCAACAGTTTTTTTTTTTATTGATAAGGATATAAAATAATGTATCCCATAGTTTTATACACATGTATATTTCATACACGTACCTTATGAATATTCTAAGTTTTACGGGTAACATTCTTGTTTTAGTTAATTGCTTAAGTTATCTTGATCAGAATCAGCGTATTGTTTTATTATTACTTCCTATAACAAGTTAAATTTATTTAAACTTTGCCATGCATTTAATGTTTGAAATGATATTTATTTGCACGTACCTAAGCAACAAAGGGCTAAGCCGAATGGTTTGTTTATTTATCAATAGGGGGCGTGATAATCGCGCCAAAAGAAGAAGGTAAACATACAACGTCTGCGTGTCACAAACTCTTCTCAATCTGAGTGACTCATTTCACTATATAATTAACGTCTTCACATAAAAAACATAATCTTGTTCAATTTGTCGAGTACATTATCTAGTTTTCTCTATATCTATGTATTTACTCTCTGAATCATCTAGATCCGTTTAATCTGTTTAGTCATGGTTCAGTATTCGTTTATATTCTGGCATCTTTCAACATACCTGTAGTAAAAAACACGAAATATTGGCAGAGAAAGATATTTCAATGTAAAACCGAATGAAAGAGTTGCACAAAAGATACAGCAAAAAATATGTCTTCTTGACGATCTTTTTTTTTTTTTTTTTTTGCGAATTTATATACAGCGTTATGCATATTTTATCTATCATATGTGACAATGTATTTTGTCTTTGATATATCTCGTATTGGAAGTCACCATCATATTTATTAATGAACTTCCTGCGTTCAGTGATATACTATATGTATATGAACAAGGAGTCAGTTTTTTTGACCTTCAGATTCTTCTGCTTTGTTAACTTGTTCTAAATAAGTTATTCGTGTTTCATTTTACCAACATCACTTCAAACTGATTTAAATTAAGATATTACTGTCTTTGTCATTTATTCTTTCAATGTCTGCCTAGATATTCTCTATTCTATTCTATACTGATATTGATATCCTTCGTATAAACTAGCTTTGAAATTATATAAACGCAACTCCTTTCTAATAATCATTAGTTGAGAACTTGTAAACTACTTCGTCGTTACCATCGACGGACAACTTCAGTGTATGAAGAAAATCAGGTGTACACATGTTTGATAAGGAATCAAAAGCTTGGTGATAGCCGAGTGCACTATCCACTGCACCAAGTTATCATACTGTATGTGTTTACTCCATCATGCGGATGTTTTATCGAATGATGAAATTCACTGTATTACATTACAATTATGATTGCTCACAATATCATGTTCATGTTCACTCACAGCAATAGTGAATGTCACACATAGACAGAACTCTACTGTTTGTATCAACTTTCACTTTCCATATAACTTGCTTTGTAGAATTTCTAACAAATACAACTAAAACATACAAACCATCATGAATATGAAAAAAAGGCTTAAATATATATCAAAAGTGAAAATTGTAAAAATTTGATGATATGTTTATTGGTAGCATAATCCACATATACATGTATATATATTTTTTAATCAAAACAACATGACAATATGAAGGTAGTGTATTTAGCTCTTACGTCAATAAAATGTGTCGAGTCATCCATAAATACATGTCATTTTCTAATGCATTATTTATCGTATCGTGCTACTTTACATAGTTAAAACACGGTTTAATATATTCCCACACTTCACAATATGAGAGGTCAAATGCTTTATGTGAAAGCCTTACAAGGGTGCAATTAAATCCATAGTAGAATAGCATTCGATAACAGGTTTTTAACTGTAAAAGACCGGTTTGTGTCAAAGATTTCAGTGTATTCGTCAATTTAAAAATGTGCATTAGTTTTCATACATGTTTGTACATTGAATCATGACTATGGCAATCTTTTTGCCAAAGACTTTTTTTCGAGTCATTGTCTTTTAGGGATAAATGACTATATAATACAGTCGTACAGAGACATGTCAATTAATTTATTCACGTATATTTCAACACTCTGCACCTTGACGGCAGTCTAGTTTTTTTATCGTGGATAATTCACATACAATTCAATATAGCTATTATATGAAACATAATGTGCTTGTTCTCTTTGAGAGGTATAAAACATTGCTTATTGCTTGTCAAAAACTGTTCATAACTTTTTTTTAATAAACCAAAGAAAACATTTCAGTGTCAGACATGAAAGTGGTTGATTTTTACTCCTGATGAACTTACATCACTTGTTATTGTAACATAAAAATGGAGGCCGGATTATCCGAATGACCTTACAAAACGTTCACTTCACCATGACACAAATAAGGCGACACATTTCTGGTAATTATCTATCACTTACAGTTCTGGTTCATTTGTCTTTTCAGGAAACATAAAAGAGAAGAAAAAGTTCGTAAAGGACGTGATACAGGAGGCACAGAAGGAGTTAAAGATAGTGCATGGCAATGGTAGACGATTCCAACATTTTATCTTAATCATTGACTCTCACATTAATAATAGTTTTTATGATATCTGCATTTTGGTCAGTATTGTGCAAGGCTATCTTTTGATGTATTCGACTTCTTGTCTGTAAAGATAGCTCTATGTGCCTATATACATCTCATTGCAATAACAGGATACATTATTGTCTCCATACGGAAATAAATCAAGTTTTTGTGTCGGGATGTTATTGTATTATTAATAGTATTGAAGTTATCACACGGGAACGTTTTAACCCTGAACACAGTTCTATGTATGTAATTCTATATTTAAAATCACGCTATTTTCCTAAATTAGCTATCTTTACAAATATTATGGAAATACCATAGTCGTTAAAATTTTAGCACAACCAAGAATATACCACCAACGATGTTAAATTGTATATTTGTTTCGAAATACGTAATGGTGATTTCGAATTCGGGATCAAACCACTTAAGAAATATTTTTGACGCATGTATGCAGCAAAGTACTCGATAATAGTTGTATTAGCGTGTATTATCCAATACAGGTGTGTTAAGTGTAACATTCTCTCTTCATAGGTAACAATACAGGGCTGACCCCAAGGAGCCCTGTTGTAGAAGATGCTCCAACTGTAAAAACAGACCAAAGACAAAAAACTCCGGACTTTTACGCAGAAGAAAGTGAAAGCGATGATGATGACGACATGTCAGATATATTTGAGAGAGCGAGGAAGAAATATAACTTGGAAGTGGACGAGGAAGCTGATTCCGTTAGTCGTGCGCGGTGAAAGTGTGCATGAACATTTTTAAAAACCAGCTTTACCATGTGTAAAGATATTTTAAATCATTAAGTACGTTTCGAATTCAACAAAAATAAAATACATCCTTGGCATCAATATGCCTAGATAAATGTGTATCCCTTGTATTAACATGCTTTAAAACACGATATTGTTTGTTGAAAATACCGCGAAAAGATCATATCTTCCGCTTCATTATAGTATATTATGATTATATATACATAATAGTTGTAAGTAAGCATATAGGTATGATCAATAATTGACAGCTTTCGACACATTTCAAGAAGACAGTAAAATAAGTCTGTTGTTTTGAACTCCTTAATCAATGACAGATATTTGTGTTTCAGATAACACACTCAGAAAGCAATTTCTTCCATTTCTTCCATTGAAAGTTTCGCATGTTTACGACTTGTGTTTTAGGGGTTATCTCCCTTCAGAGCTTATTTCTTCGTTTCCGAACACAAAAGGAAAATGAAACGATTTACTTCCTATGAGGAGTATCTTGAGAATATAATGACACGGAGGTGAAAGTCATATGTCCCTCCTGTCACGGTGCATATTCAGGTTATCAAATATGTACTTTTTCATCATAACAAACATTGCCAAACTCACTCTCTGTTAAATGATATAAAATTGTGTTATAAATGTTAAACAACGTAATAACTTTGTCCATGTTCTATAGGTAGTTGTGGTAAGATGGGAAGGGACATAACTCCTGTGTCATTGCTTATTTTGTTGATGAATCCACTTCTGTGATATAATTAAATTAGTGCTTTATATTGGTAATGTAAGTGAGGAATGTAAGTGGGATATACATGAATGTGAACATATGAACATTTTAGTATTATTTATTTGAATTTAGTGAAAAATAGTCTAGGAACAGTTTTATCAATTTGCACAGGTTAAACGATCAGTGAGATTTCTCAATTTTCTATATCACTTTGCACCTCAGAATCATTTCACACTGAACATATAAGGAACCATTGCTGACAAAAAAAAAAACAATTAATAGTTATAAAATGTATAATAATTATGGAAAATTCCAAAATTTTTGAGTAGCCGAGAATCAAACGGTATATTTCTGTCATTTTTGTCATTAGTATCATACGATACATTTCTGAATTAAACCTACACAAATTGGTCGATAATAAATTGTTAGTGTACCTTCATACAATCTGCTAGTCAAATAATGATATCACTTGATCATTCTTTGGCTGAAAAGGAAATGAAATTAAAAATGGCGGGAAACTTATCAATGAAAATTGTTAATAATATTTCTCACAAAAAATATCTTCTACTTTGAGAGTTTAACAAATACTAATTATATAACATATTTGTTTCAATTCGACTCGTGTTTGCATTTCAAATGAGCACTTCACAATATTAAAAAACAAAAACAAAACAAAAAACACCATAGAATTTTGTAAAATATGCGTGCTTCAGAAAGAAAAGCCAGGCTATCACGGCTTTTCGGTTGAAAACAGATGTCAGCTGACTGTAGATTACACACGAAACATATACCTATCTAATGTATCATGAAGATTACTTCCTCCGATCATTGGCACAGGTAAATGACTAAAGGACTGTTTATCTATCATCATAAAATGTCCCGTCTTATTATCCTACACTCAATATTACGTCTTAGAGATATTATGTTAAATTGTTACTTCTGTATATCATTAAAATTATCACTGATCTGAACACGTGTTTGTTGTTCTTATAAACAAGCGTATACTTTCGTATTAAGAGAAAACAGAATCTGTCACAATATTTGTTTTTTATTGACTTAATTATCCTAAGTATATTAATATTACTAGTTTGAAAACGCTTAAAGGGTGAAGAAAAGACAAAACACCACACACAATATCAGTATTTACTGTCAGCTTATAACAGTACAAAGAACATAAACAGAAATAAACAAAAAAGTTACTTTTTTTTTCTTTTCGCCACAGCAGACACCACGTAGATAATGTACTACAATGTCTAAATAAAGGTTTTCAGGTGTAACTTTGGTATTTTTGTCAAATTAATACGCTCGGTATAGGCGGCACTGCGGAGGTTTCGCCTTACACGGCATTTTGCAAAGTGTATTGGAAAATTTTTAATATTTTTGTTTATTTTGACTAGTAATAAAACAAAATCCTGTACACCACGGAACATTAAACTTATCCATGTATCAGTTCCCAAGCATATCTCGAGCTGAAGTCAAGTAGAATTTCACAGCGGAATGCTCTAGCATTGAGTGTAGATCGTAGCATTAACACATGAAAATAAATATTTGCAAAAATAGGCGAACTGAATTGTGCTTCCATATTCACTGTCACTTTAGATAAGGAGTATTTCTTGCAGCTTCATAAAAGACATCAAACATAACAAGTTTATCAAAAAACAGACATGTCTTGTCCATGTACCGATAAATTATTTAAACCAAACTCCATTTCCACTACATACTCACAAAGATAATATTGTAATCGTTTATAAACAAAATATGTAACGACAAATTAATTTATCAATCTTAATGCGCTTCCATCATTAGATACAGTTACAACCAACCCACCTGATATCGTCACACGATACAAAGTGCAATTGTATAACACGTCTTGATGTGATATACGTCACAAAGTTACACATCAGCAACGAGTAAAATGTAGAGAGAACACCGGAGTGTTCACAAACAGTTCCTACAAGATCTGTTAGTTACATTATTGCCTTCACGGTGGACAGTAAGTATTGATAACTGTAGAATAGATTAGCATTTAATGTGAAGCAATCATACCAATATGTCAGAGTTTGGTAAAAACTTAAAAGGACGTTTATGTAACATCCATTAGACAAAAATATCAAATTGAATTCTGATTAATTAGTTTACTAGTATAAGATGAAATTAAAGCAAGGGTTCATGGACATCGCAAGGTTTTTTTTTCTGTGAGACCAAAACTATACCCCGAGGTGAAAGAAAAACCAGAAACTTACTATATTTCTCCAGTCAATATTTTCACAGTTTAATTATACCGATACAAACCGGATACACACTTCAAACTTTGTAAAACAATTTCTCGGTGATATTGTCAAAATCTCTCTTGGCTGAGCCTGAAAATCGACTTCAGGATAAACAAATACTCATTGTGTCTGAAATACTGTTTTAAACAATCACAACTGTGTTTAACGACTTCCCGGACAGTACAGCTGGGTTCAGAGGTCAGAGTTTTCATCATAGTACCCGCCGTGTCATTAAGCCAGAAGTACGTGATTTCCTGTAAAAGGTGTATGAGAAACACAACACCACAACACACAAACTCGAGGTAAGTTATCCCAACACATTTTTATTTCCTATGTTACTATAGTTTCATGACATTTACACTAGAATTTTAATACCAGTTGTCGGCATGACTTGGAATGATAACCTAACTTCCGTCAAAACTACTAGATCTCATAATACGTTTGTATATGTATCTAGTATGCTAGTTAATCTCTAAGTTTATAACGAGTATAAGTATATTCACACTGTCTGCAGGATGTGTTGACTTACGGATAATCATGACATTTGTATTGCTAGGTGTATACAACTACACCATCATAATAGTTACAATGTTTGTCTCTAAAGAGAAATACTTTTATATAGCAGTACATCAAAAGACAAAAACGTCACTCAACGTACCTAAAATTAGCCAATGAAACCTTGCTGACATGGAGCGTTGGAGATTTTTAGATGTCCTGTGAAAGAACAGAAATCCCCTCCACGATCTCCCATCACTGACGTCATAAAAAGAAAACGGAAAGTTTGTCATGCGCCAAATCAACTGTATAAAGGTTCCAAATACATCTTCAAAGTATACTCCATACGAATTATACAGAATCTCAGTTCAATATATACCAGTTATATCACTGCGAGAACTCCGACAGATATCGACAACATAAAAGGTAAGAATGCTATATACTGTGATATCCTATGCTCTTTGTCGGAAGATGCACTAACGAGTGCTTAAAGCACAACACAGTTGCATTATGCAGTTTACTCATTTGTATGGTTATGTTGTATCAGATTCGAAGTTTATAAAATATGCTATTCATTTTTGTTTTAATGTAATTCTTCAGAACACATTTGAGTTATGGAACGTTGTGCTTAACCAAAACGAGGTATCGCTTTTAGGAAGATCTGTTCAGTAATAAACTGCATCATTCAACACAATTAATTAATAAAATGCAATCATGTATTATATGTATATAAATACTCTCGATATTCAACTTTAAGCATCCATGTATTCATCAGATTGTGTGATATTCAGATTATGAGTAAAATTGTCCAAAAGTCATAGAATTGAATAGCATCTTTCAAACAAGATGATGAATTAGATACAATAGAGAAAAATAGTAAATTATTTAACAGTCTCGTCTTTTTATGTTACACCGGGGATGCTAATGGCCTAAATTTGAAACCTGCGAGGCAACTGCGGAAAATTCAAAATGAATTCGTAACTTTCACATACCTGTCCATTTTAAAAGGACGTCATATACAAAGCAATTAGCGCTAATTTTGCTTGCGTCCTGGAATTAATTAAGTAATACAGTATTTATTAAACTCTCAACATCATCAAATTGTGTAATAATGTCAAATTGTAATATATGTGTAACTACAATACATCTTTTATAAATGTATTTATGCACTATTTACTAAAATGAAATATTATTATAACGCTGTCGGTAATTCCTATTTCAATCACTGGTTTTTAAAATATATCTTATGCAATGCATTATATGATCCGAATGTCCATTCCCTAGTTAGGTCACAAAGGTTGTCCGCACGTGCCCTACACGCATACATTTGGGGAAAGTTCCATAAGCAATCATTTAATTTGATACCTTTGACTGACTGATCAATATGTAAAGTTTGGTCCGCTTTCAACAAATTCATGGTAAGTCTTTTATTCCATTTTAGTTTAATATACTACTGAAATAATCAACTGCATGACAATATCTATTAAACGACTTATACAACACGAAAAAAGCAAAATATAAATACCTTTAATATGTTTACTTAAACGGCTTGGTGTCTTTTATTTGTGACACTTCTTAAATTGCTATCATTCTAACCTAACTACGAAGGATCGGGATAAGGGAGCAGGCTTTGAAAGATTCAGGATTCAAATCAATAGATTCGTAGTTAAATGTTATCGCTGGGCTATACCTTGCCCTTCACTCTATCACATGGGGTCTTAACCAAATCTAGATATCTTTCATTTGACCGCTCCGCTCTTAGTGGGGGAGGTAGCGCATAGACCAAATCATCAACCTGAGATTCAGATATTTTTATTTTGTCTCGATGTCGTCGGTGGGAAAAACCACCAATGGGCCTTCCTGCAATGCCGAGCTCTGAACACGAGAATTCGTTAAAATGAAACCAAATGATCACTTATACCCTGGATTACGTTACAGAACGATGCTGCTCACACTGGTTGGATTACTAGGATTTGTTTCTTGCTCATTCTCCGGGGATCCCTCTCTTAATGGTTAGTATTTCATAATGGAATGGGCTCTTTCTTTATCTATTTATCTAGTTATTTATTCTTTTTATTTTTATTAATACTTATTTGCTTTGTCATACTATAAATAAAAATATATGCTGCATTAGAACTTTTTTCTGCCATTTGTATCGTTTCAAACGAGTATATGAAAGATGATCTCATTCTTTTTGGAGTTTTTCATCTACAAGTGAACACTTATCATAATTTTCTTTTTGTCAATTTTTTTACATTAATACATGATCTCTACAGATTCTTGGAGACGCATTCGAGTCAGAAGAGCCAATTTGCCTTACCCTACACCATCAGCTCCCATTCCTAATTTTGATTTCATGCTGTCGCACTCTGTACCTATGTTGTGTCCGTCTAGTTCACTTGGAATTGCAAGAAAAATGACTTTGACAGACGAGCAAATGTTAGAACTTCTGCATGCGAGTGGTGGAACTTTCAACCCAAACATTATGGCGACAGCTAGAGCAGCTGCAGAGCAGTTTCCGAATAGGTTACAACTGACACAATACACAGAGGTATGTATGTTGGTTGTGCATGGCAATGTACAGAACTGGTGTGTCTGAATATACAGAACAATATGATGGATAATGTGTCGAAAGGTTACTAAATTATTTCCGTTGTACATTTATTTTGAAATAAAAATAAATATAAATTTCAACATTATCATATGCAGACATTCAAATGAAAGTTTGCCGCTATCAATAGTATCGATAATACGAGTAAACAATATTTACATGCATGGTCTAGATAATGAGTTGAAATTCATCATCATTCACAGATCGATTTGGCTTCCTCATTCTGAATTTGCATAAAACTAAATTAGCAAACATCACTTTCCGAAACATGTAGCGAATTATTCTTGATAAAATCGTATTGACCATTGTGCAAATTTATTTTTAAGGGTGAGGATATAGACAGAACCTTAGATTTTGATCCTGTCACAGACAACGAGATTACCAAACGAGCATTGCTAGAAGATTTACATAAATGGTCTGCGTTAAAGGACTACTTATCAAACAAAACATTATCTGGACCTACAGAAGCTTTGAAGCAAGCAACATCGGAACCAGTGGAACCTACAACGTCCCCAGTGCCAGATCTGCTTGGAAGTGTGCTTTTAGATCCGATACTTAGTACACATGGCCGTCAACAACAAAGTGCAATAAATGACCAAACGTTAAAGTCAGAATTGGAACAAATGAAAAAACAATTAGAACAATTACTACATGGAAATTCAGTTAGTTCCGAAGATTTGAAAGACCTGATGAACAGTTTTAATATCAGTACTCATCCCCACATATTACAACGGATCAATCCCGGGTCCAGCTTTGGTCCACAGAGAGTGATACGAAGCACAGACGGTAAATCAATTAATCTGAACAGTTGTCATAAGCAGTTTGATGTCATCTTATGTGCAAAATTGTACGATTTTTTTTTATAAAAATCCATAAGATTTAAATTAAAGTAATGTCTGTCTTGTTGATATCGTTTTATAACTCTTCTTTTCAATGACATTTGACATTTGTCCCAAATACATCTTTTTATCCTTATAGTAAAAGTATTTTGTAAATGTTTCCAATGGCATAAACACAACGCTGGTTTCGCCATTTCAAATCCTCTGGATATCTCCAAAGCAGCACTTTATCATTTGGAGTATTTCCAAACATATTTGCAAATCCATATTATCCTAACCATCGTTTTTGCCGATAGTTACTTTTTTGTGACCTATCGCATCTCGTCAATATGTAAATATATTGTATGCTATTTTTCGTTGATGACATAGGCTCCACGTCAGTGATACAATACTGCCGTCAGAAAGGCAATGCTACAGCTGATGGATTTCTACACATGTGTGACGAGTGTGCTGCTACTACTACTTTATCCTCTGAAAAGTTTCCGCCATACCTGAACGAAATCGTCTGTGGACAAAATGACAAGACATGTCTAACGGTCCGAGGAACACGTAAGTCACATTCATTTGGCTAGTTTAGACATGATGTAATTTTGTTTATTGTTATTGATCTGGGACATTATTGCCCACTCTGGGTATCCATGTGTGATGATTTAACAATCCAGAAAGTCACTGTCTCGTACATTACATAACCAGTGCTAGGACGCTTCATTCACACTGGTCGTTTTTCTTATGACGATGACAGTCTAGTCATCATAACGTCCTACTTAAATCTTCTGCTGGTTGTGTACTAAGAACTTCCATTTAACTGACATTACAAAAATGTTGTGAAAATTACTTTTACTTTTTAAATGTGATGAAAAAAATGCATTTAGTTTTCTTTTACAAACACTGAAAGTTACAACCGATGTAGGATCTTCCGAGAAGAATAACGTAGATATTTGATCTTTTGTCAATTCCTTAACATCAAGATATTCCCCATTGTTGTCTAAAATTCAAAGAAAATTTTTTGAGATAAAATCGTTATTGCAAAGAGAATATTTCATTGCTACGACAAACCGAATACGTAATAGTTAAGGGTATTGCTTAATGATAATGAGATCTTCTAAATTTAGTAGACTTTTTTTCTGTGCTTCCAACAAATTGATCCTGTGCCAATGACAATTTGAAATAAGGGATCTGCAATTGTTTTTACAGCTCATGGTGCCTGTAAACAAAGCTTTGTATACGTAAATATGTTACGGAGACGACCAGGCGGATGTCGTATGATGATACAGAATGGCCAGCAGATTTTGATAGGTGCTTGGGAGGTGTATACACAGAAAGTACGATCAGGATGCGAGTGTTTTATCAACCGACAGTCTCTTTTCGCAAAGTACATCAGACCCATTGGTTAGGAACATTGCCCATATGTCAAATGTAAATTCTAAATGTTAAGTGTTAAGTTATTCGTCAGAAGTAGCGATGTGACAATTGTTTAAAATCACAATGAGACAACCAAAAGCCTGCGAGGAAAAACTAGACTTTGCGCCAAAGAAGGCATATTTTGAAAGCATTTGTATATATATATTTGGTAATGCATATTTCAATCAAATGCTTACTTATAAATATAGCTCTTCCATAGTCACTATCAACGTTTTTCGTTTGATTTATTGCATTACGTATTATTAAGTGAAGCTACATGGTCACACATGAAGTTGTAATGTCGATGTGTTACAATCATTTAAACTCATTGTGAGAATGAGGCAAGATTTATGGTACTCTTGTAAGATAGATTCTTGCAAAATTTGTCTTGGTTATCTTTTATTTAATATCTTACTCCATTGTTAAAGTTGATACAAAAAATGTCAGTGTTATAAGATTATTGTGAAAGAGATGACATGAAGACGCATATGATGACAGTTCAAATTTCACTTTTATAAGGTAATTCGATGGATGTCTTCTTATAGAAATTTCCTAAAAAGATTTTATTTTGCATTGTACATGTGTCCAGTAAGGCCACAGGATGATTAAGGGAGATATTCATCAGTAAATACAAATTAGCCCTGACTGTTGTGGTGTTTAAGGGGTGATAAATGGAAATCTGTAGTGAGGAGGTGCGTATGTGTTTACTTTTTTATTTATTATTATTATTTTTTCTTTGAATAGTTAAGAAATTAGAAGATAATTTTTTGTGTTTACCCGATAAATGTCAGTTCATTGAATGTTCTTCATAGGAGTGTTTCTAAAGTCAATAAGTTGAAAGTGTTAGTGTTGTGGTCTAATCCAACTGATTCTCACTGAAATTAGTTTATCTAAAAGTAAAGTGCTTTTATAGTCATGTGTTTATTTCAAATGAATGACAAAATGTTGAATCTCACTATCGTTACTGTCTAGCTACTTTCCATTTATTAGATATAAAATAATGATAATGGTATGGATGTGGGTTTAAACATTATTATTTCTTTCTTTCTCCTATGTAAGCCATTTTTTGTTTTGTAATTTTGAAAGAGCACGTGTGTGAAACCAGGGAATAATGCTACACGATGTATAGCAAGCCACATTAAACGTTTGCAAAATTTAATGTAATCTGATTAAAATTGTTGAATACTGATGTATAACAGTTCGTTTTATATGCAGTCATTGTTGTGTTTTTCTGAATAAACATTGGAAGAAAACACTATGATAATATGGTTATTTGTTTGACATAAATCTAAACGTATCTTCCTGACCGACGACAACAGCCACGTAAATCCAAGTAAGTAATGTCACGTTCTCAAATAAGAACAAGGGTAACAATAGTGAGAGAACAGGTATGCAAAGTATAAAATACATCCAACATCAAATCACTTTACAATTTTTTACAAAGATTTAAAAAATAAGACCGCAAGGACGACAAAATAAACTTCAACATAATGCATGTTTATGTACCGTGTGGGATTGTCAGCTGTCAACATTCTTGTCGTTACATGATATTTCTATCTCTTACATGTATCTGTTTTCTTTACGCATTTCAGTATCGTTGTGTTAAGATTTTATTTTAGTAAACAAGGCTCTAAACAGGCATGTCTTAGCTTAAAGTAGTTCCTACAACCACTTGACTACACGATATGTACATAACAACAGTCCTTTTCCTCCAGTAGTGACAATGATTATGATTTGTCACAGGAAGAAACGGTTATCTTTCAAACAAATAAATAAAGGATGGACTAGTGAACGTGACAATTTAACGGTATGGCAAAATATTGTGTAGCCCAGTAGATATAGTCATGATTAACTACCACAATTTCCTTGTTTTGTGCATGTTTTATTCAATTACATCGGTGGGCATGTACTATTAATTTGACTGATTGGACTGATGGAATTAACCGATGTATCCAAACGTCTGTGGTTCTAAAGATAATCCGTAATCTAATACAAGAATCTCATAGAAATGACAGTGAACGGAGCATACACTTTTAGATGCATAGACATCGTATTTTTAAAATTTGTTTAATATATAAGAGGTTCTTTGACGCACGTGTCAATGATGAGCTATCTGTCCATTCCCAAATGTAAATATGGAAGTGATTTTTTTAAAAAAAGTATTTTTTAAATACTGATATGAAGATACACTTTGCAAAATAAAACCTTTCAACATAATAATAAAATGAAAATCTACAAATGTGAAATAGCCATGGAGATCAAGTAAAACCAAAATAAAAACATAAAAGAGTCCTAAATTATTCCTTTGATCGCCGAGATCGCAGCGATCCGGTTCATCCTTGATACGACATTCCGGGAGCATAGCTATGATAGACTGTCTGTGGTATGATATCTGTCGGGATATAACTGTTTGGTGTAATCGCGTGGGATTAAGTCACGTACATGTCAAAACTTACCACTTGTATACAATCAGACGAATTAACGGATCAGCTATTAAAACGGGTAGACAAAATACCAGAGCGTTCACACATCTCACTACGACAGTCCCTTATCTTGTTTATATCAACAACGTTAAGAACCTTTCACTTCGATTTCAAGGCTGTGAAAACTATGGCGTTAAAGACATGGATTGATGTCGTGTTTTGTTGTATAAAATACAAAGTTAACAAGAAATTATCGACTTTTATAATGTATATACAACAGAGGAAAGCAGGATCTATATACACATTTAATTTCACTGACTTCACGAAACGTTTATAAAACAACGTGACCTTGATCTTCGACGGAGCACAAGTCTATGTCCTGTAGTGTACACAATAAAGAGTATCACAGAACTGTGGTATGCAAGGAAAGTTTGTTTGAACGAATACAAAATTATAACTAGATTTAAAATTTATTAAGTTTAAATCACACATGGAAACAATGCACTTCCTCATTGTTCCTTGCAGTACTCAACCTTCTAAGCTCCAAATCGTATCTTTTTTATCAATACCACGCCCATATAACATGTAAGTATGCAAACGATTTTTTCCACAAAAATTTCCTCGATTTATCTGTTGGATTTTTTTATGTTTTAGTTAAGTTCAAAGAGGAGTGAATTTGTTCTATTAATGTGTTATTAAAATTCACTGGCGTGGGGAACAAAACTGTCAGTCAGACTTTAAAACAATTGCTAAGAACTCAACTAAATAGGATATGGAACAGCCGTCAGTAGTATTGTAGTATGTACCTGTTTCAATCAAACTCATATTAATTTCGAAGACTGAACAAAAAGACACACAAGTAAATAGCATCATTTACTACAAACCTAGATAAGATAGCGCCAAACAATGCATCGTACAGTTGTTTGCTCCTTGTAAGGCTCGCCAGTAAGAGCTTAAATGCTAAACTAGGAGACGACCGAGGAAAAACCAAAGTGATCGAAAGAAATGTCAAAATTTTGAAAGGGAAAAGTTATAAAAAAAAAGCTCGAGATAAAATTCATGTCATACATTGAATTGAGATGTACGTAGTGAAAGATAACTATATCCCGGTTTTGTTTGGAGTAGCATTGGGAATTTTGGTGAAACTGAGCTGACCAAGTTGTGCAACACATCCAGTTTTATATTCCCTTGACCGTACATGGTTTTCTTAATAAATACTTCTACACAAAACTTATCAGGAAAAATACGGCCCTTCTTACATTACATGTACTGTATAAAGGTTGTCGGTAACATAGATAACGGACATGCTTGTCTATGGAAACTCATGATATAAGAGGTTTGGTAAATGATCTAACAGACATCTAGACATATACAAACTCTCCATCTCAAGTACTGATTGAAAGATATGAAACACTCCTTTCTTTTCGTCCGGATATGCATTACTTCTCAAAATCTCTGTCTTAATGTTCAAACATTTGGTTTACAAAAAGGATTTCCTTGGTACCACATGCAGGGAGGTGTAACAAAATCACAAGCATGATATGGAACACTAAAATCACTTGAATATAAATTCTCACCATATGAAACATTGAGTTTTAATTTTATTTATTTTCATCAAAATGAGTAGCATTATTGACTTCTTAACTCAGTATTCAATGAACCGATATTGAAATTCTCTTTATCTTACACTGAAAACTTCCTTGATCCTACCCTGAATAGTGTTCCAAATATTCCAGCTAAGAAGTAACCACATTTCCATAACAGATACACTCTTGTCATTTCTTACAGTTACTCCAAGCAAAGCCCATCCAAGCATTTCAAACTGAATCTAGAACTTCTCATCAACATGTTTAGAGATTACATAAAAAGCATATCAGACAGTGAAACAAAACATATATTGGATTCACAATCAGATTGGATTAAATACATTCAGTATATCGTTCTTTAAAGGATACACAACTGAAATCTTCAATGAAAACAAAATGTATTCCTTTATCCTGGCGTTAAATTATCGTTATCAAATTTTATGATATGTGTGTTATTGTTCCTGAAGACAATGCATCTAGCAGTTTGATCCATATTTGTAGACATCATTACATTTCCTCCAAACACAAGAAAAATTAGGCTTGCTCGATACCGGCGAAATCCTACCTATACTAATTTATATATAATATTTCCAAAAAAAAGAAATATTGGCTATTCACGCTTCAGTATTATAATCACTCATTACTGTCATTTAATGATAAGGATACGGACCTCCCTTGTTTATACTGGATTCATTTTCCTTACATTGTCTGTATAAACATCGTTTTATTTTAATGGTTCTTCCAGTCACTCCATCAAACCTTTTTCTAAGCTTCTTAGTACTTTCTTAGTACTATCAAATCGGGATGAAAGTCGTATTACGAAAGCATTTACTCCAAAAATGCAGATAATGGTATATGGCTTTCAAAAACCTCTAAACACAACCAAAATCGAAAACCCTCCTTAAAAAAATATCTTTCATAAACAGAAATGTGAGTGATGGTGCAAATATATAGATGGCTGTACATGTTAAAATGCGAATTTATGACAATATCTTCGTTGTGTTTGGAGGTTTCCATCAGACTATCAGAATACCTGTGTGAACAAACTGTGTCCTTTTGGCTGACTTTATACATGGCTAAACTTATCGAGGAGCCTATCAAAGCTAGTCATAAAATCGTCTCTCAGTTTTACGTTCAGATATATTTGTCTTGTCTTTAAAAATTGAGATGTTTGTTGACTACATCCATAGTATATACTCGCCGGAATTGGAAATCAAGGCTTGCTCTTCGGAAAGTACTTTTTTTCTCTGCACGTTTTCAGTAGTCTCCGTGGAAATCATGTTCATGTTTTACATTGTATTTTACATAGTTTTACGAATTTGGGTTTGGATTATGATTCGGTTTACATGTTGGAATTTTCTTTCTTGTTCTCATCGCCACAAAAGCATTAGACAATTGTATGGAACCTACCGTGCATTTATTAACCATTTTACTAGGCTAGGTATGATGCAACGTATCGATGGCCTTAACGTCACGACAATACATCGAAGTTAAAATGAAGTTCTTAACCCAATCATGAGTTACGCAGCACATGACTTATGATGATCAAATAATCTGACTTCAAAGCGGAGACTGATTCAACATACACAAGTAGGTATATCTGGTGAATCTATGACAGAGCACGTTTTTCAGCATCAGATTTTAATTTCTTTCTTGCCTGGTGGCTTTCTGAAACGTTGCGCCGTTATATCAAAGATTTCTCACAAAGGTGTGTAGAACCATAGTCTATAGTTTTGCTTTACATCAACCAAAACTATCCTACAAGGGCGGACCGCAGTTGGATTATACAAGCTCTTGTGATCGAATTACTTTTTCAAGTTATTTCAAAGGCACAATTACAAACATTATCAAAAACAAAGAGAGAACAACCTTGGGAAACCAAGAACATACACGGGACAGGGAAAGCTAACAAAACAGTGAAATACAGGAAGTTAGCTGATTTTATTGAGCATGGAACGTTTGTTTCTTTAGCTTATCGCCACATGAACAGCCAGCGCAATGTTCCTTTTAGTAGCTGGTGGCGTTCTCACTGGACAACATATGGGAGGCCCGTCATATGTCATACGCAGAAATTATGGCAAAGTGTCTTGCTCAAGTACACAGACTGGTCAATTTGTCAGCTTCCCGAGAAATACAAACCAGCAAGGTTAGTGAGCGTCGAATCATGCATCTCCTATCTTCACCTGAGGTTACGTACAAGGTTATCCATTACTTCAATGCAACAAGCGAATATTCATTTTAATCGTAAATCTGGTTCATGAGAATCATCAACATCCCTTTAAACATACTTGATAGGCCATAAAGCACAAAGAGCAATGGGTAATCTCGCCAGGTGTGCTTGACTAGGGGGTATATCAACCTATTTATCTCAATAATACTTATTCACATCGCGGCATTACAATCACAGAGTGTATACATTATGTTAAATCTTTAACTCACCTGCTTGTGATATTAGATAAAAGACCAAAACAGTCACACTTCGATGCAAAATATCATAATTTGTTCACGACAATTTTTTTCAAAAAAGTGTTGCAGTGCTTTTATATAAACTCTAAAGTGTCGCCATCAAGCTAACGTGTAACTGGTGTTGTGTATAACATCAGACCTCTACATTAAAAAGTGGTCTAAAGCAGTTCTGAGTGTATTTCACCATTTGATTGACACAATTCTAGGCCTACATCAAAATCCATTCCTTGTCGTATCAGTAGAGTACACAGTTGACAATTAATACACCATTTCTTACCATTAAAAAGCAAATAAACTGAAATATACATGTTCTGTAGAGAAAATTATAGACACATTTATATCTCAGGAATTTAATCGATTTAACTTAATTAACATTACGAGGAAAATCACCTGACATGTTTTAGCTTTCAAATGAGAAAGAAAACGTTAACACGCTGTATTTGAACAGTTATCAAATGTATAGAGTCAGGCCACCTGTCTCAAGTTAAAATTAATTTTTAAATCAGTATCGTACCAAGGGTAATTCAGTTCGGTGACACCTTCTTTAATCCGTTACCCAACAGGTTGAGCTGATTTTAAGCTTTCAAAACAAAAGCTTATGGTTTGATCATTAATATTGATATTAACCTATATAATAAACTTTGTAGTATAAAGTAAATTAACACAGCCAAACTAGTGAGGTAACATTAAGTTATTAATTGCGAATGTACTGAGATTTTAAAGAGGAATATTTTCTGTTCATTAAATCATCGAAGGAAAACCATAATAAAGAAAGTATCTGACAACTCTTTCCGTCACCTGACCTGATTTAGTAACCGGTTTTATATCATACCATGTACACTGACACGACTTCCTTAAAATAACCAACTGACCTGGAGTGATCATATATGACTTGTAGCTTCCTAAGAAGAATCCCAACGAAACAAACAACTTTCATTTATTTGTCGAAACCTTAAAACGATTTCTTTTGATCATCCAAGAAGCAAGATATTTGACTGATAGTTTCCTTTGATGAAGCCCAACAAGTTTGTAGGAAACAAAAATTATCTTGATCCAAATTCACTGTCACAGCCCTTAAACGAATGCTTCTGATAAACAAATGCTTAGAAGAATATTTTGCTGGTTTGGTTTTTGGGATGATCTTGAGGAACATTGTGAAAAGAACAATATTTAAGGTGCCAAATTTGTAACCTTAAAGCGACTTCTTCTAATTGTCCAAAAGGCTTAGAAGGACGATATTTTGTTGGTAGGTGTACGGAATAGATCCACAGAACCTTTGCGAAAAGAAATCACATTAACCCATATGCAAAGCCACAAAAATCAAATTTGTCAAACACTTTACTTCTTTCCAAATGACTAGGATCATATTTGACTGGTAGGTTTCTAGGGTGAATCCAGAGAAAGCTTGTGAAAAAAAATGTTCCTAACATTTACCTATAATCCAGGTCATAAGCATAACTTGAGTTAAGTGTTAGAATCTAGGTTTGTTTGGAAAATTTATTAAAATTGATTGGATGTGTTCACTTTGACTGTCAGTGATGTACATGTCAATGTATTTTGATGAACAATGATTGTATTTGTGATGAACAGTGATTGTATCTGTGATGAACAATGATTGTATTTGTGATGAACAATGAGTACCATTGAGCCATGCAGGCCTATTCTGCTATATCTTTGTTGCATTTTGGGAATAAGTCAGACATGTGCATCCCTCTAAAAGCTTTCAGGCGACAATATTGGAATGCACAAAACAAAAATGAAACGTTTGTATATAATGGTTTAATATTTGATCTCTTATATAAATACTATAAAACTACACAATAACAAATTCAAACTCTACTCATAATAAGCAATTTTTTGTTCAATCCAAATATAAACTCTCTCCCAACTGTAAAACACATGAAAGCACCATAGAATAGATATCCTTAAATATGCCATCAACAGGTAATATACAGCAGTCATTTTGTATGCAAGCTAATTTATCATTGTTACTGAAATTCAAATATATTTTGAGATAAAACTTTTGAGAAAAAGCACAGATTAGAACTGAATTGATTCAATATGTTAATTTCAGGTATTTTGACTTCAGATTTCATAAATATAATTACTTTTATTATTTCATCAACGCAATCCCTCGTGAATTATTTACTGGAAACAGTACAGGAATCTCAACAAAGTAGATAATCAAGTCATGTGACTTACAGTAGATGTATTAGTAATAATAAATTAGTAGTAATAATACATAATATTTTCATATTAGGATAAAATTTTAGCACCCCCATCACTGCCCACCTGGGAAAACACTTTATGACTTCAGGAAGGCAACTTTTGTGTTTATCACATGCTTATCATAAATAAGAGTGAAGTACTAATTGACATTCAGTAAGCACTCAAAAAATTCACAAACAGTATATTCATCTTGTGAAATACATTTCATGCAACAATTCTCCTCATTACTTTGAAAGAGGTACAGTACCACTCGATCAAAGGTAAGAAATACCCATTCAATGATAAATCATATCTTAGCGAAACATATCAAAAAAGTCTGAGGGGATTTTGTGAATCTTGTGCAAAAAAAAAAAAAAACAGTTATTATAGCAGGGGTGTATATCTATATCTATGTAGGTCCTTGATACAAATTTAATTTTTCCAATGTTCCAGTGCGTCATTCATTGAACCTACAAATATAATTTCACATCTTGTTTTTTTCTTTTTTAAACTTTCCCCTTATACCTCATTACAATATGTATCAAAGATTTGCATTCACATTCTTGTTCTTTTGTCTAAACTCAAATATGTAATTCAGCTGTTCTTTGACTCCAATCATAAAAGCTCTAGTGTATAGTCTTATTGATTTTTGGGGAGTCCTACATGTATGTCAAATTAAGGGGGCAAAGTGGGAATTAGGAGAGTCACTCAGGTAAACCCAGACTCACTGTTTTACACCCAATCTATATATAAATTTTTCCCTTCAAATGAGATTTCTGAAATATGGCTTTTACCAGAGCTAATGGTGAGGATAATAAACTTGTGACAAGTTTCAGAAATCTCATAATGAATGGGAATGAATGTAACATTGTGTTTAAATCCTGTTTAAATCCTAACTTTAAAAAGTTGTATTACATAACATTTGTGTAGTTTTAATCTTTCATATAAAATGGACCTTATTTACCAGATAACAGGATAGTTATGTGATATAATCTGCCTAACGTCCAGTGAATTCCCCCATGTAATGTGTTTTGTGTATATTTCATTAGTGTAATAGAACTTGGAGTGATTTCATATTGATTGTGATGGCAAAATAGGGACAGGGATTTTACATTATGACTTGAAAATGACAAAGCAAACTGGCTCTTTTTTTTCATTTTATTCTTCACATTTTTATCTTAAAACCTGGAAAAAAATTAACTTTTCTGAATTAAGTGATAATACATACAGTGTACCATAAATTTGCTTTCATAAATGGTGTTTCATGAAACTCATCTCGAAGTTCCAGTTTTTGTAAGTCTATAATTTTTGCTTGTTTCATAAAAACTCCTGTGAAAATTCATTTTTGATCTAATACAAAGAGCCCCTTCTGATGTATATATTTTGTTTATCACAAGAATGGAGAGTGATTTCTGGAACATGTAGGTTACTAACAAAGTTTTACTCTTACTTTTAATCCTGTTTCCTTATATCAGTCTTGAGCTCAGTCAGTTATTCAGCATTTTTAGGAGGAATTGGTCTCTCCTAATTAATATGAAAAATGAACTTTATTTTTTTCTGTATTTAGAACAATTTCAGCTAAAAACTAGATAACAAGATAACTGAGGTTCAGAATGTACATAAAACATTTAAAATGTGAAATTCAATTTGACAGATACACTAGGAGTGGCCTCTTCCACATCCTGGAAAAGAATAATTTGTTTGTACACATTTTCTTTTAGACGACAAACATTACTGTCATCACAAAAGAATACACGGCACTTGATATAAATATGGACAGGTTTCAAAACGTCAAGGTGACTTGGAAACATGAGAGACAACAGGGACTGTTCTTCAGAGCTTTCAATGTGACCATTTGTATTGCATTCTATGTTCAAAATGTTGTTTGCTTCATCTGAAAAAAAGACAAAACATGATATTCAAAATTTATAATTTGAAATTTACATCATACCTGATTTATTCATGCAGATTAGGATATGGTTACACAGTATTTGTTATGGGTATGAAAACCTATACCCTTACATACTACAATTAATTTTCCAGCAGCTAATTGGAGCAATTAAGTCATTGACTACATGAACTGAAAAGACAAACACTCCAATTTTCCATTAGTAATAGTTCTCCCATTAGTACCTACTCAGGGCAAAAAGGGAAGACCTAACTACCTGGTCCAATCAACTGCTCCAATAACATTCTACTTTGGCAAGAAATAAAATCCATCATGGTAAATATATGGGAAATGAAATAGCATGTTTCCTTATAAGGACAATAAACATTGTTTCCAGTGTCCAATGTATCAAAATCTACACAAATACTGGATTTTATATTAATTTCTATTTGATATGATAAAGTAAGTCTAAGAATTTCTTCATGATAGTGAGCCTTTGGTGAGCTAAACTTAAACATTTGTGACCAGTTTTATGAATCACATATCAAATGGAAACAACTTTCAGACCCTTTTTATCACATTGTTGATTTTTCAAACACATATGTTAGAAAATAAGTCATTTCTATGTCAAACATGAAGTCATGTCTGCTCCACATCTATGGTCTCCAATGCTAAGTCACAATGTCATATGTGAACGTGTTACATCATTTCATTATCAAAAGTGACCTTACAATAAGCTATATATCACATACCAGTTATGTAATATGTAAAAATAGGACAAGGGTATATTCACTGAATAGCCAGGCAATCATGAGATATTTTATAGAAGCACATGCACTGTCATTGAAGTGCAACATGCTAATTCTTCAAAGACCTAGATTATCCTTAAGCTTGATCTTTTCCAAGAGTTTCCACATACAATTAAGCATTAGATTGATGTTTCTCTTTACATACTAGTAATCTTTTCATTTCTTCAGACAATGAGTAGATCTATGATACTGTTATCTCACCTTTACAAATCATCATCCAGCTACTCGGAGCTTCCTCTGTGAAATGATGTCCATCAGGTAGTGGAATATGCAATTTCACTTCTACCTTTGTAGCTGGTGCAATTTGTATTTGGGGTAAATCTAAGATAACTGTGTTTGGCTTCAAAAAATCATTTATTTTCTTCTTCTTAGAACCGTCTACCTCGTCAGGACTTCGAAAAATTATTGGAAGCTTCAAGAAAATGTTAAAAATTAGATATACTATAAATATATTTTGAATTCCTGCAAAACAGACGATTGGAGTTTCAAATAAATCATTTGATTCACATACTTTATTTTCACATCTTTAAATTCATTGGTTAAGATATATTGTTGGTTGGTTGGTTAGTTGGTTAGTTGGTTGGTTAGATGGTTGGATGGTTGGATGGTTGGTTGGTTGGTTAGTTGGTTAGTTGGTTGGTTGGTTGGCTGGTTAGTTGGTTGGTTGGTTGGTTGGTTGGTTGGTTAGTTGGTTGGTTTGTTGGTTAGTTGGTTGGTTGGTTGGTTAGTTGGTTTGTTGGCTGGTTAGTTGGTTGGTTGGTTGGATCCTTAGTTGGTTGGTTGGGTGCTTGTTTGGTTGGTTGGTTGGTCGGTTGCTTAGTTGGGTGGTTGATTGGTTGATTTGTTCATTAGTTGGTTAGTTGGTTGGTTGGTTGGTTGGTTAGTTGGCTGGTTGGGTTGGTTACAGGTTTTCCATCCTCTTGACTCCTCCTATCTCTAAGTGTTGTCTACTGACAAACAGCAGTGTTCTAGCCACATGTAGATATAACTTACAATATTCAAAGTTTTAAACTGTTTGAGTTATGCTGGCTCTCATGTAAATCAATCATTCACTTATATCGTGTTTTAGTCAATGTAATATGGTGAGTTAAATTAAGGATATGAACAAGTGGGTGGTCAAGTTGCACAGTGGTAATGCACTCAATTTTCAACTAGTCATCCAGGGGTTCATTCCCACAACAGACGTGAAAAGGTAAGGGGTCACCTGCCATCCACATGGGTTTTCCTTTGGTACTCCGGTTTCATCCCACAATAAGATCCCTCTCATGCTTACATCAGTGATCAGTATAAGTTGAAATAACTTGTTTTGCAATTGTTGTAAAATAAACAATGTTGATATTTATATATGTACAAGTTCAGATGTTTTTTTTAATACAAACAAAAAGAAATGATAAAAACTTACCTGAGATACCATACTGGTTGCCAAGTCAACTGTTCTGATCACATGGTTGTTTGTATCTGCTATATATAGTATCTGATTTGTCTGATCCACACACAAACCACCAGGTTCATTGAGGTCAATAGATATAGAGTTACTTCCCTTGTCTGTCGTAGATGCTGCAGCCCACGTTTCACATTTCTTGCTTATGATATCAACTGACTTTATCTGAAAATATAAACAACTTATCATTGTACATTTTCATATAGTTACCTTCATATGTTTTTATCCAAAAAATAAGCCAAAGTGATTAATACACTGTAGTTAAAACAGTTTTACACTCAAAGTAAGCGTTTACATATGTATATATATTACAATGAAATGGCTTATTCCAAAGGCTTTTAGAAAGCTTTATAAGGTTGATACTAGATTTCACCAGATTGAACTAAACTCCTAAAATTTACAATTAAGTCCAGCAAATTTCCTTCCCAAATTCATCAATTTTTCAAAACTAAGTATGTAAATATGTAACAGAATCAGTCCAAGGTTTTTTTATCGGTCAAAGTTGCTTTTAAAATTGTTTTTAATTAACAATTCAGTTATTTTACCTCAATTTATAGCAAGTAGATTATATGTCAGATCGAGTATAAAATGTGATGTCACTTTCTGTTAAATATCACTTAACAGTGGACTATATGTCAGATCTAGTATAAATTGTGATGTGACTTTCTGTTAAATATCACCTTACAGTGGACTATATGTCAGATCTAGTATAAGTTGTGATGTGACTTTCTGTTAAATATCACCTAACAGTGGGTTATATGTCAGATCTAGTATAAATTGTGATGTCACTTATCACCTAATACTGACTGGAAAAGACAAAATTTAGTTATTCCAGCATTGGAAAATGCATGAGATGCTCTGTTGCCTATACAAGAGGCTTTGCAGTCTTGAGAGTTACCTGAGATAAGCAATAATAGATATAAAAGTTAAAGGGAAAGTAGCTTTCAAGTGAAATGAAAAAGAAATTGTGACACGGATGATATATGCATACATGTATCATCAAAACTGTAATCCTATACTAATAATTCTTATAAAGTTATTTCCAGTTGGAAGTAAACAAAGTTATGCTCAAATTGCAATTTATCTAAGAAAATTATAGTTAAGTTAACCTCCTCCTCAGTAAGAGACCCGCTTTAGTAAAGCATCTTTAGAAGCTGCCATCCATGACAAGTATTTGAGTGTTGAGAAAAAGACTTTTGAAATTTAAGTCAATGTAACCCTTTATGGCCCCACCCATCAGCCCCTGAGGGTCAGCCAGGATCAAGATGGACATACCATCAAGATTGCTCATAATTCTAAACAAGTTTAACATATTTCCAATGGAAATTAAACAAATTATGCTCAAAAGTCTATTTTTCCTACATACTGTGGTAAACTATAGTAAATTTTACCCCCTACCCAAAGGGAAATATGAGACCTTGGGGCCATAAAATTCATAACTTTGGTAAACCACGTTAAAATCCTTCCATCCATGAAGAACATTTGATTCCATCATATCTGGGTGTTGAGAAGAAAGATTTTTGAAATTTCACATTTTTGGCCCCGCCCCTCAGGCCCCTGTGGGGTGGGGGCCATATAATTCATTATTCTCTAAATATCTTGTGTGGTTTCTAGCTACTATCATATATGTACTTTTTGTATGAATCCTTAATTTTTTTAAATATCTGTTTGGTAATATGAATGGTTCATAAGCTAGAAAGACAATCTTGGATCTGCAAACAGCTACATGACTGATATTTTTAGTTCAGAATTAGAAGCACTTGATCTACATGTACCTTAAGGATAGCCCATAAAATTCATGACGTCAATTAGTATCATGTGCCCAGCTTTGAAGATTGTGAATTTCTAAAACTATCAGGAGAGAGGAAGTAAATCTGTCAATCTCATGCTAATGATTTTATCCATTTTGAAATATTCCTGACGTAAGAGAGATTAGAGAAATGTTTTAATAAACCAAGTAAATAGCAACAGATGCAACACCCCAATCCTTCCATTTTGTGCTCAATATTCTCAGTAAATACTACTATAGCAGTATAAAATTTGACCATTGAGGTTTTATTTACTTTTTATGATATCAACACATCATATAAGCATCTATCAGTCTTTTTAAATCTTTTTAACAAATTGTCTCCTACTACACAATAAGGTGTAATGTATAATTCTACAAAATTCCAAAGATGCTTGGCCCACTTTAATATATTAAGCAATTTCTTTATTTCTTTAGACAAAGTGCATGTCACAATATAGTACATGTGGCCCCATAAGATAAGCAATTTACCTGTTAGTGTTGCTGATAGTGGTAAACACTCATGCACTTTTACAACACAAAGAATATGTACTTTCGCTACATGTACAAACCACAATCAACAACAAAATTTATAAAAAAAAAATCAACAAAGTATACATGTACTGCTACATAAATATGTATTAAAAAACATGTTTTCCTGGACATCAATATAAACCAAGTCATTGAATTTCAATCAATCATAGCTCTCTGAGGAGAAATTTCTTAATAAAAAATATGTATATATAATACATACTGCCTAAACCAAATATCCAAAACAGACACTTTAATACAACAAAGATAGCCTTTCTCCAGGTCAGGTGTACTTTTATTATGAAAGCTGTGATGGCCTTAACTAATTACTTTTATAACTTTCTATGTTCAATACAGTTTTCACTCTATCCTCTCAAAGTTACATGATCAATGATATTTCTATAATTTGTATAGAGGGTGGCATGATCACTGAAGCACTTGTAACCAACATAAGTATACATGTATTATACTATAGTGCATACAGCAAACAGCACACATGTACATGTATGTACACACATACTGCATTTCACTGAACCTAAACACATTTCAATGCAGCTACAGGAAGAAAAAAGCCTTGAATAGTAAACATCTGACACATGAATACTTTCTGTTACAGTTTACAAATCAGTTTTTTCACATACCATCAGGAAACTAAATATTCCTGTCAAATTTACAACAAATAAATGTATCAATTTAATAATTAACAAATCATTACAAATGAAAATTTGTGTGACACAATATACAGTTACATTCCTTGTAACATTCCAAATGGAAACGTATAGTGTCAGACAGTGGATGGAAGGCCCCGAGAACAAAAGTGACATGCTTTTTCTTTTTTCATCTTTTCTCAGAAAAAAGCTTTTTGAATTAGAAGCAATAGCGACTTGTGACAATGGTTAGTGGGAGAAGAGAAATTTGATAAGCACTCCTAGCTGATTCTGTTATAACAGATGATGTCTTGTTGATATCTGCTTGTTTCTCATCTAATTCATCATTAAAAAAAGTGATCCAAGAAGGACCTTGGTGCCAACCATTGCTTATTCTTTAAAACTTAGAACGTTTCTCTTCACTCCTCTATTAATGCTCTTAATCCAATGAAATCTGAACATCACTTTGAAGAAATAGCTAGAACAGATTTTTTATTGTTGAAATCAAAGACCGTCACCTGTCATAATTTTTTTTTTCTGATCAGTTCCAAAATCAAACAGTCACAACTAGGGACCAAGGAGAACCTTCCTATTAAATCTGACAGAGATCCATCCAATACTTCTCAAGACAGAGTGAGAACAAACTTTCTTTTTCAAAATCCAAGATGGCAACCTATTGGCCATTTTGTTTTTCTGATCAGTTCCAAAATCAAACAGGCACAACTAAGGACCAATGGGAAGCTACTGATGAAATTAGAGAAGGATCCATGGACCTTCTGATTACTGAGAATAAGATTTTAACACAATTGGCCCCTGCAATTTTTGAAAGCGTGTTTGAAAAAAAGCTGGTAATTCTGCAACCCAGTATGTTATTAGCCAAAAATCAGTGCCCTGGGCATTTTGATTATTGATAGGTTGTTTGAAATTTTACCTGTGTCTTTGAAAGTGGGTCAAGGTTATTTATCTCAACAAACACAGTAAAATTTCCTCTAAGCATGATGCAGGCCAACACCAGTACTTACCTCATTTGATCAATAGTAAAAATTAATGATAACAAATTTGTCTGATAGCTATCCTTCATAATCAGACCTTTTATTTTCCCCTCTCCAACTTCCCCTACCCCTTTCATCAGCTAGATAATACTTCCTCATATGGGCAATTTTGTCTTTTCAACTTTTCAACCTACTCCTCCCTCATACAACACCTCCATCCCTAACCCCCTCTTCATCACCACTTTCCCCCTCCTCACTCCCCCTCCACCTTTCAATCTCCCCATCTCCAAGCCCACTATGGTCATTGATTTTGCACTAACAAAATGAGGCTAGTTTGACACCTTTTAGACCTTACCTTATGGTTGTAAGAGTCAGCAACCAGTAATGGCCCTTTGTTATTTGTAACCAAGGCGACACCTAGAGGATGCTGGAGTTTTGCCTCTATTCCTATACCATCCATATCACCATATGCAAAAAGATTCTGTTGAGGAAAAAAATACTTTGTAGAAATTACACGTAAATTTAGCGATACATGATAATTAAAAACAGTAAAATTAGCAATGAACACCCTTGACATGAATCCTCTTAGCAATTTCCAAATACAAACTATACCTACAAACTTTCATTTTTTTATAGACTTGTTTCAATGTTACAACACATCATAGCTAGATATATAAAAGATATGGCATAGGGTAGAATGTACATGTAATTATGGTAGTTGCTAGTTAATAGATATATCACCATCTTTAACTGAAACAGTGAAACTACATGGAAGCCTACTGCAGGTAAACACATATTTTCTTTATGAATACATATTATGAAGAAACATGTTTCTTTGGAAACCCTCATAAAATTGAAGAGCTACACTCTATGCTAATATCAGAATTCTAGATGCTTTTATTAGATATTTGTCAATTGCGTCTCTCGTTTTTCAGTCTGTTACAGGGGAAATAACTCTGATAATCTAATTCATATGAAGTACATGTACATCTCTTTCCCTCTTGCATTCCCAGCAGCGAGACTAACTCACCATAGGATCCTTCTCTCCACCAACCAAACCCTTGACAGCTCCATCCTTTAGTATCACACTCCTCACAGTGGAACTTTCACTATCAGCGACAAATATTGTATTTAGTTCAGGGTGTGTGGATACTGACAAACCGGATGGTTGGGCAAATGCAGCCCTAGCTGGATAGCTGTTGTTACGATTCTCTTCACTTCCACTACCTGCAAATCTCACGCATGTTCCAGCTTTGTACTGCCTTAAATAAATCAGTGGATTGAGTTTTAGAAGGAGAATTGCCTTGAATATTCATTCTATATTTACTTTGAGTAAACATGAAAGATTTATTGAAATTCAAAAGAAAACCAATGAATAACTTCATCTAACATAGAACATCAGAGATTGTATCTTATACATTGTTTCCAAGGTTTTTAAATACCAATGTAACCATCCACAGATTTCACTTGTGTACATCTATATGTAATTTGTAATTAGTTGTCTCCCTTCAGAAGTATTGAAATATTCCTCCAGTACTACTATAACCAGAGATCCCTGAGAGATCTTGGTGCCCAACACTGTTTGATCTTTAATTCTTCTTTGAAAGTTGGATTTTTTCCATTCTTTTCTCTTCTCTTCTCTGTTTTAACTCTTAATGATAAGAAATTTGAACATGAATCCTTTGTGAAAATAGCAATAATAATCTTTAACTGTTTAAATTCATGGTGGTCACCTGAAAGCCTAATTGTTTTTTCTCATCAACCCAAAATCAAATAGGCACAACAAGTGACCAAAGAGAACCTACACAATAAAATTTGAGAGTAATCCATTCAGTACCAAAATCAAATGGACACAACTAAGGATCAAGGGGAAACCTACATTTGAAATCTGAAAATTCTCTTTGTTGTAGTTCTTAAAAAATAGTGATAACAAACTCTCAAAGTCATAATCTCCATTTGTCGACCTCTTTGTTTTTCCAATCAGTCCCAAAATCAAAAGGACAAAGCTAGGTATCATGAGGAAACTACACATGATATCGGAGAAAGATCTATGCAGTAGTTCTCAAGCCATAGCAATAACAAACTTTCAAAGTTGAAATCCAAGATGGTTGACTGTCAGCCATTTTGTTTTTTCTGATCAGTCCTTAAATCAAACGAAGAAAACTAAGGATCAGGAGAAACGTTCACATGAAATTTGAAAGAGATCTATGCGGAAGTTCATAAGAAATAGCAATAACAAATTTTACTAGGCGCAATCCAAGATGGTCATCTGTCTGCTATTTAGAAAATGTTGCCATGAAACATGAACTGAGAGATATATGTTCCATTAAGATGCAAAAATAAATTGTATTTAGTATTGATCAAGTTCTAGTCTCCCCACAATGTTAGGAGAAAAACCTACCATTATAATAATATCAATGTTTAACTGATTTACTTGGAAATTTGACACAAATGTAACTTACAGGGCAATGAAAATTTTTAAACTTACCTCCCCTTGTACCACTTTCCATCCTGAAGAAAATAAACCCATATCTGATGTGTCCCTGCCATTGCAATAAACAAGACGTCTTCTGATTCACTTCCTAAAGTAAACAAATGATAGTAATGTTCCTCATTTAGTCCTAGACACATATAAGATCAATTTACAAACTTGTCCCCAATCATTCTTGAGATAATGTAAATGATATAAACTTTCCCCAGTAAAAAAAGGCAAAAAACATGTCCCCTACTTGTCACTGCATACAATTATGTTATTATCCTTTATAAAGAAGCTGCCCAAAAATATGGAACCAAGATATTTATTTTCCCCATTTGAACCCATATCAACTATATCTGATCCCTAAGAGCCTTTATACATATGTGGGTATCCTTATATCATTATTATGTAAATTGTGAACCAAACTTAAACCTAAAGATTAAGAAAAAGGAATAAAAACACAGTTTCACTCTGCAAATATCAAAGTTAGACCTTCACAGAACCGCTATGTAGAGTAACAGCATCCTATAGCAAATATTCAGTGAATGAAAAGAAACTGACGGATACATGTGACTGTATCTCACTCTGCATGATCAGTGAAGAACTAAAATTTGTTCTGACTTATTTTCTGAGAATTCTCCAAACCTTTCCTTGTTATTATTAAGAGATGTACAGTTCAGCATACACACAGGTATACACACTAGCATTTAGACAGGTGTCATATACCACACAATATGTTGACTGCATCATTTGTATATCATCAAACTGAATGTAATATAGTGGTGAATGGCTTTTCCTAGCATGACAAGAACCTGTATCAAAAAAACATGGTAATACTGAATTTTCCCAAAAAAAATTATACTGCTATATCAATGTATACACTTTCAAAAAGGTTTAATATAAATTACCAATTGAGCAACCCAGTTCCAGGTCCCAAGGGGAGGAAATCTCCTGTTGTGTTCCAATGTTCCCTCCCTCTTTATCTTGTCCTTGAACACCTGTTCCAACCACAGTTGTCACGGATTCTGACTTCAGACCTATCTAAAATTAAGAAATACATTTGTAAATAACTTTTGTTCTTTTATTATTTCTAAATAGAATTGTCAATTCACATGTAAATTTTCTTGTCATTTTTTCAAACTATCTATCTCTATTGTTCTTATGTTTGTCCCTAATCCTGAAATAATCAAAGTTGACACTATTTTTACATTCTCTAGATTCTGTAAGAATTTCTATTTTTCTATTATTGAGCACTTGTTTCTATTCTAGCTTTACTACATCTTACAGAATATGGAATAAGGTATACAACATTTGATTCCACCATACCTGGGTGTTAAGAAGAAGATTTTTGAAATTTAAGTCAATTTGACCACTGTTGGACCTGCCCATCAGCCCCTCACCACCAAGCTGCCATCCCTCCCTCTTAATTCTAATCAATTAGGAATATTTCTGAAGGAATTTAAACAAAATATGCTCAAAAATCTATTTTTTCCTATATAAATTATAGAAAACATCATTCCCTACCCACGGGGAAATGAGATACTCTGGGGCAAAGAAATTCACAAATTTGATAAAGCACCTTATGATACTTCCATCCATGAAGAGCATTTGATTCTACCTTATCTGAGTGTTGAGATGAAGAATTTTGAAATCCGAGTCAATTTGACCCCTTTTGGACCCACTCCTAAGGATCATGTGGGGTTAGGATTGTATGATTCACAATTTTGGTCATCTTAGGCTAGGGAAGGTTTTTGCAAAGTTTTATGAAAATAGGTTCAGGATTTTTTGATAAGTAGGCATAACACTCCTAACCATAATGTATAAAAACAACAAGCACCATTACCTTTAACTACAATAGTGATTAAATCAGGTAAATTTTTACACATGGTGATACACACCTTTCTTATCACATGATTTTCTGTGTCAGCAACGTACAGGTCCTCTCCCACAAACACCATTCCCTGAGGACTGTTAAATTGGGCATCCTTGAAGCTGCCATTCTCAAGTCCTTTCTTTCCACCACCAACTATACACTAAAACCATCCACATCATTATGTAAACAATATCAGCAATCATATTATTTACTCTGATATTGCAGAAGTTAATCGACTCAATTAACTTGGTATTTGATAAAAGTTCTTAGAACACTTACTTATACATCTTCTCGATGGAAAAGATGTATAGGGTGGTAAGGATCTTAAGTATGGATATAAAGAAATTGCATTCTACATATACAATACCCTAGTCTCATTTACTATGGTGATACTTACCTTTAACCTCGAATCATCTCTAAACAGTTTCAGTAACAATTTATAGTCATAGAAATGTAGCACATTTGGACCAATAAAAGAGCATGTACAAGGTGATCCATACACTCTGTGGCCATTTCATGGCTACAGATTTTTTTAATACATTAAGATACATTATTTAGTAAGACATTTTTCAACCTGCTATATCTATAGTTTTGTGTAAGATGAAAAATACAGAAAACATAAACATCATCATGATGTTATGAGATGTCATCCATGACGTCAACTTTGATGTCATCTGATTATAGTATTTTTTCCAAAATTGAGTGACAAAATCAGAAGGCTTGAGAGATAGTGCAACTTTATTTTGAAAGTTATTTGCCAGCAAGTGATCCAACTATGCAGAAGAAGTACCCATCGGATGCAAAACTATCAAAGCAACAAATGCACAGATTGTAAAATAAGTTCCAGCAGATGGGATCTGTGGAAGACACAAGAACCAAGGACGTCCATGGACTAACAGGTGCAACAAGAACATTGAGACTGTTCAGAAAATTATGTCAGAAACTCAAGAGTGATAACTTATGAAAGTGCTGGGTGACATTTGAAAATAAGGGATCTGCTAATTCTAGCTCCAGCTATGGAAGTGTTTGAAGAATGTTACGATTTGACTTGAAGCTGTTTCCATACAAAATGCCAGTGATGCAACATTTGAAGGACACAGATGTTACAATGAGACTACCAATGCTCATTGAATGACTGACAACACAGCGTATGGTTTTCAGATGAATCTCACTTTCATTAAAATTCATAAATTAACAAGCAGAATTGCCATGTATGTGGAAAGGAAAAACCACACTACTGGAAAGAGCCGCAATCAACAATTTTAAAAAAGACTCAACGTCATCATTTCACTGAAAGGACATCACATTGAATATATTGTGTGATTTTTGAGAACATTTCCAATCAGTTATAAATTCACCAAGAGTGAAGATAAAAGTATTTCTGTAAACACTTGTTTGTATGTTAAAGTGATCATTTTCATTAAACTGGGTTGAACTGTTTAAACGTGCTGTTGGTCACAAAATGTATGGATCACTCTGTATAACTGAAATATTTAACTAACAATGTATTACTTATGTACAATGATAACCTCTTAAAGAATGATTAGGTATCAGGTTGTTAAAAAAATCAGTATGGGATGAATCAATTAATTTAACTCATCATGATTCAAGTAATAAGATTTGTTTAATAAAATGAATACACTACCAAAACGTTAAGACTAGCTTAGACATGTTAACCTTTATAGGCAGGTTGAATAATTTCCTGCCAGTCTGTTCTGTTTAACATACCTGAACAATTCCGTCTTTACCACAAATTATCACTCGATGATGTCCACTGTCTGCTATTGCAATCAACTTTCCATTCTGACTGACAGCAACTTTTCCTGGAAACTTCAATGGAGTTGCTGGTAGTTTGTCCTTCTCAAGAGTAATTGGCAGTGAGTGAGTCTTTATCATACCCTTCTGATTATAGTAATCTAAAGCAAGTTTCAGAAACTCCTCTAAACTCTCCTTGTGTCCTTCTCCAACAAAAGTCCGTAAATATTTTCCTGTAGGTGAAACAACCAATAGTGTTGGCCAACATGCTATACGAAGTTTGTTCCAAAGTGTGGCTTCACCGTCATTTACAACAGGATGGTTGATATTGTAACGCAGTACTGCACTCAAAATATTGGAAAGAACTTTCTCATTGGCAAATTTTGCTGAGTGTACACCAAGAACCACAACACCATCCTGAATTGTATACAACTCCTCCAGATGTTGTAAGTCAGGGAGGATATGAAGACAATTTACACAACAGTAGGTGAAAAAATCCATCACCACCAATTTTCCTTCCAGCTTTTGTTTTAGGGAAAGTGGACAGGCTGTATTAAGCCATTGTAGATCTAGATAAACACACAGAAAACAAGTTTGTTACATTTCAGCAATAGGATATTTAGTACTTTACAATACATTCTAAGTATGATTTTCATCATTGATAAAGAAAAAGAAAATTTAAGCTGTAACAACTGAGAAAGTAAAAGACACTTGAGGTTAAACAAGAACATCTTTTTAATCCTGCCATTTTTCATTTTCATTTATCTTATGTGGTCAACAATGCATTACAAATCAACATACTTTTTTATATCTATTTATGAGAACAAATATTTCTGAACAGCAAAATAAAGCTCTAAATGAATTCATGTAACAGTAGATCCACTTTTAAATATTTAGTAATACTAATGTCAGTGTTTTTAGTAACAATAATATTTTTAAACCATTTAATTTGATTCTTGTTGGTCTCTTATTATTAGAACTAATTAATTCAAGATAATTAATGGAAATAATCTGTGGCTACACAAACCCTCTTCAAAGTCAGGTATAGAAAACTTGATTTCAGTTTCCATTTTCTCAATGTATTTTTGCAATGCTTCTTGTTTCTTTTCTGTTGTTTCATGTTCCAGGAGTTCCTCCAGTAGCTCAAACTCAGCCACTTGTACCTCATCCATGGCTGAAAGATACATTCAATCAGTAATAGATGGACAGTCATCAATGCTTAAACCTGATATTCATATTACAATTCTTTTACTTAATTACTGTATGCTTTTTTATATAGAATATTTGTAAGTCAATACATTATATTTTAACACAGGTGTAATTTAGAGTGTAGCCAATATATAATTTCTGTACAGAAAACAAATCAGAGCTAATCCTGGAAAAAATAATTATGACATTGAAAATGAAAATGACCCTTCAATGTTGTTCCAATCAATTGTACTAATCACTTTGAGTGAAAATTCCAGATAATGTTGTGTGTCTTTCTTCTGCTGCAATGATTTTCCTTGCTAACGCAATAACATTAGGAATGATACATGAACAATTTGTTCCAAAGCTTCTAAAGACGCTTGAACTAGCAATTTTCAACTCCCCATGCAAACATTCTGCCAATTGAATAAAGGGAAATTCCCACTAGCCAAGGCAAGTATGTTTGACAGGATTGCGTAGTGAATAAAAATAAACTAAAAGTGTTAGTAAATGATCACTCTTAAAACTGCATTTAAGTTGAATCGCGTACATGTCATGAAAAGGTGTTTTTTTAAGCTTATATATAAGGATTCAATGTCTTATTTAACTGCCTAATGGTTGTCCTACTAACTGAAATCTGACAATTTATCGATGTTTGATGAAATCTGGGGAGAGTTTTTTGGGCACGACATATAGTGAATCTTATACCAAATTAAAGAAAAATATGTATCTGTCGATTCAGACCACTACCACTAAAACAGTTAAGTGTCTATCACATGTTTTCCAATATTGGGTCTCTTCGCTCTGTCGCTAGGCTGATAAAGTTGCATTGTTATTGTTTTGAGTGTATTGACAGACGAGGCTGGGTACCTGTGTTCAGATCGCGTTCCCTATAATAATGACATTACAACATGGATAGAGATTATTCAAACAAAAGCACTGTGCGTTGCGAAATTTTTGAAAAAGTCTTAAAGCAACAAAAGTTACCTAGTCTTTCCGGATACAGGCGTACAAGTGAAACTACAGGAAAGGGAAATGAATCACCCGCCTTTCAACGTCAATACTCAGCTTGAAATTTCTGATAGATATTTATGTGAGCTAAAAGCGTTTCACTGACTACAATATACGACATTCTAAATTTAAAGCCGGACTACACAAACCATTGTGGTACAGTACACGTATGCACTAAATGTATTATAAGTTTAACATTTTGTATACACTCAGGTACCAGCAGTTCGTTAGCTGTGTAATCGCGCGGATACAAACAATGCATTATTTATGAATCTCATAAAATCCATCGCTATACTACAAAACCGATGCTCCGTGAATGCTTGTTCGTAATGTTAGTTACGCAAGATTATCATCTTATGTGATACTTTTCTACCAATATACCACAGGCAAATCAGTCGAGTTAAGCTGTGTTACTCCACTTTTCTACCAATATACCACAGGCAAATCAGTCGAGTTAAGCTGTATTACTCCACTTTTCTACCAATATACCACAAGCAAATCAGTCGAGTTAAGCTGTATTACTCCACTTTTCTACCAATATACCACAGGCAAATCAGTCGAATTAAGCTGTATTACTCCACTTTTCTACCAATATACCACAGGCAAATCAGTCGAGTTAAGCTGTGTTACTCCACTTTTCTACCAATATACCACAGGCAAATCAGCCGAGTTAAGCTGTGTTACTCCACTTTTCTACCAATATACCACAGGCAAATCAGCCGAGTTAAGCTGTGTTACTCCACTTTTCTTCCAATAAACCACAATCAAATCAGTTGAGTTATGTTGTGTTACTCCTGTTTAACCTGCAGGGCTGCACAACTTTTTTATTTAAAAAAAAACGGTGTCGATGATGTTCAAATACATTTAAATATACTAAAGAATATTTGATAACTCTGAACAAATTTTACGTGTTACATTGAAAACACATCGAACACAGGCAATATTTTGTGAGCAGGGACCGGGAAATTAAATATGCAGTTCATTTCAAGTCCATAGATTTTTTGCTTGCGAAAACTGAGCTCATTCACGTGGTTTTGTAATTTTGAACACCAACCGCAATAAACATTAATGACGAGTATGCTACATTACTACCACTAGGAGTTGCGTTCGATCAGTAATTGTATCCGGTATTTTGTTCTCATACCTGATGCTTTCATATTTATTATAACAAACGAGAGTGAAAATCCACCACTAAAACAAAACGAATTTAGGAACACTCACTTACAAAATCACCGGGTAATTACGTGTAGGATGACACATGTTTAATCCTTGAATTTAATGAATGTGTACACCAGAAATCGGCAAAATGATGAGAGACATCTACCGTCAAATTTAGATCTCCCACTATTAAGTTTAAGTGAATACAATGGGTATTACTGTAATAATTTCCATTTAATTTTACCTTATATGATATATATCGACATCAGAATCCGTTTTGTACCGATAGCATGTTAATAAGTACCTCGGGCGCCGGGCACATAGTACCTCGGGAGGTACCTCGGGAGCCGGACACATAGTGCCTGGGGAGCCGGACACATAGTGCCTCGGGAGCCGTGCACATAGTACCTCGGGAGCCGGGCACATAGTGCCTGGGGAGCCGGACACATAGTACCTCGGGAGCCTAGCACATAGTACCTCGGGAGGTACCTCGGGAGCCGGGCACATAGTGCCTGGGGAGCCGGACACATAGTACCTCGGGAGCCGTGCACATAGTACCTCGGGAGGTACCTCGGGAGCCGTAGCAGCATAGTACCTCGGGAGCCGTGCACATAGTACCTCGGGAGGTACCTCGGGAGCCGTGCACATAGTACCTCGGGAGGTACCTCGGGAGCCGGGCACATAGTGCCTGGGGAGCCGGACACATAGTACCTCGTGAGCCTAGCACATAGTACCTCGGGAGGTACCTCGGGAGCCGGGCACATAGTGCCTGGGGAGCCGGACACATAGTACCTCGGGAGCCGTGCACATAGTACCTCGGGAGGTACCTCGGGAGCCGTGCACAAAGTACCTCGGGAGCCGGGCACATAGTGCCTGGGGAGCCGGACACATAGTACCTCGGGAGCCGTGCACATAGTACCTCGGGAGGTACCTCGGGAGCCGGGCACATAGTGCCTGGGGAGCCGGACACATAGTACCTCGGGAGCCTAGCACATAGTACCTCGGGAGCCGGGCATATAGTACTTGGGGAGCCGGGCACATATCACCTGGGGAGCCGGGCACATAGTACCTGGGGAGCCGGACACATAGTACCTCGGGAGCCGAGCATATAGTACTTGGGGAGCCGGGCACATATCACCTGGGGAGCCGGACACATAGTACCTGGGAAGCCGGACACATAGTACCTCGGGAGCCGAGCATATAGTACTTGGGGAGCCGGGCACATATCACCTGGGGAGCCGGACACATAGTACCTATGGAGCCGGACACATAGTACCTGGGGAGCCGGACACATAGTACCTGGGGAGCCGAGCACATAGTACCTGGTGAACCGGACACATAGTACCTGGGGAGCCGGACACATAGTACCTGGGGAGCCGGACAAATAGTACCTGGAAAGCCGAGCACATAGTACCTGGGGAACCGGACACATACTACCTGGGAAGCCGAGCACATAGTACCTGGGAAGCCGAGCACATAGTACCTAGGGAGCCAAGCACATAGTACCTGGGGAACCGGACACATAGTACCTGGGAAGCCGAGCACATAGTACCTGGGGAGCCGGACACATAGTACCTCGGGAGGCGAGCTCATAGTACCTGTACCTCGGGAGCCGAGCACATGGTACCTGGGGAGCCATGCCCATAGTACCTGGGGAGCCGAGCACTTAGTACCTGGGGAGCCGAGCTCATAGTACATGTACCTCGGGAGCCGAGCACATAGTACCTGGGGAGCCGTGCCCATAGTACCTGGGGACCTTGGACAGACGAAATTGGTTGGTTTATTGACAGAATATCCGTCTCGGTGACTCCTACCGTATCCAGGTATCGTCTCACCGATGAACGTCAGTGTAACGGCGACTTGAGGGGCGACCTGCAGCCCTCTTAGTGGTGTGGAATGGTCTGTGGCGGTGATCGTTTGATTATACTAGTGTTGGTAGACGGCTCCGGGGCCTAATAATGCCTTATGTTACCTCTAGCATTTGAAACACGTTCTGAAGCTAAAACGAAGAGTTGGAGGCCTATCTAGAATTGGTTTGTGCTTGGGTAATTTTGAAATCCGTCAAATGCCTTAAAATAACTGTATAGTCTAACACTATCTGGGCCGGCGTTATCACGCCTAATCTTTTTCGAAAAGCAAAACAGGAGGGATCTTTAGCATGCGAGATTGGACAATTCTCATACGGATCACCGTTTAAAGTCCCATCCGCCGGTATGTGGTTAATAGTTAGTGGTTAGATCGGCGTAAGTAATCATAATTAACACTTGTTTTTCCGTCTTGAAACATTTCTAACCATACCGACTAAGTTACTTGATTACCTTACAAAAGTTTATTGCTTTCTGATTATCCACTTCATGCATGAAATTGGAATGTAGATTTCAAGGAAAGGTATGCAATAGAATGGGTAAAAAGGGAAACCTGATCGCAATGGATGCATTTTCAGAGTAGATTAAATTCATTCTTCAACGGGTGCGTAGCTTGAAATCTTAAATGAAATCAAAACACAATTATATATTCCTTGATTCTGATGTTACATCACAACTACAAAATTTAGATCCGACCATGTGTTCCGAATGAGTAAGCGTCGTGTAAAGCTTTGTCATTTCAAGTAATTAATGTCGCGTTCTCAAATGACAACAAGGTATACAACAACGTCTTCATATCTCGCTAAGGAAAGGGTATCTTTCTCATTAGATATAATATATAATAATACTTGACAGGGAACACATTTATTTGTGCTTAAGGGTTGCTATATGTGGTGACAATTTTTAAGATAAGTGGTCAAAATCTTAATCGACCCAAAAGCCAGAAGCACCAAGTGGTGCAGAATGGCTCGGCCTTAATCTTTCCGCGATTGCCAAAGGCTCGCTGGGGTATCGTCTACGACTGCCTATTATGATGCAGAACGGCGTCTAGCCCAAGACCCGATGTTACAGTATAGAGAAATGCAGGTTGTGTAAAATATATATAACTGATGATGCTTGATCCTGTAAGACCGCTCTTCAGTTTCTGACACATCTCTTACTGTACTACCATTTTCCAAGGAGCTTACCATCATCTTCTCTCTTATTCCGTAGATATCATATGGACGGCGATAGACATCCGAGTGGAGTTCTGGGTAAATACTTCATGATTGTTAACAAATCCTGACACATCTCAAACTTTCTGGTTCCCATTTTGAAAGAATCAAATCCCCCGACAAGGTGTGTGCAGTCAACAGAAAGAGATCTTGTTATACGATGTAAGGTACGTCTCACATTCTGACACATAACTGAACACAAACAATAAACGGTTGCACTGACCATGTCAATAATTAAACACCGTAGACTGGGTGTTAAAATGTACACGATAATATTCTATACATAAAGACTATGTTCAACTGGTTACGTGCAAAACGGAACAGAGATGAAATGAGGATTATAAATTTTGATCTGTTGTGTTTATAAAGAGTCTCCCGACACAGACTACAATGTAAAAAATAATATATATGATATATACTTTATAATATATATTTTAATACTTTCTTACCCGTTTTGTGTAAGGAAAGACAACTCCTGTTACAGAAGACATATTGTTTCTCCAACAATTACACAAATTGCCGTCGCATGTTTTTCACTCTGTCTTACTTTAAGAGCAATAGCTTATTGTATGTAGTTAAAATATATAAATATTGGAGTAATAAAGATATTTCTGTTCAACTCAGTGCTGAGGTCATGCTGTTGGCCTAGATTATCCTGTAGACATTAGGTAGTTGACTCAGATTCGGTATGTGATAGATACATATTTAAGCCTGACACTTGTCGTAAGTTGGTGATTACCTGTGAAACGACACGT